ATTACAATTTGTATGTAGATCATATAAAAAGGTTTCCCTTGTGATAGTGTACGGAAAAGTCCAATCAACAATAAACTGATGAGATAAACTATATAAACCATAACATTTAATAACTATTTAAACAAAATTTCGGATTGCGTATGCCTAACTGGCAATAAACAGGTAAGTCTCAGCATCACTGTTCTGATAAGTATGGACTTATTTTCGTTAATACTGTAAAATTCCAGGGGCTTAATTAGGTAGGTGCATCAAGTTTCAGTTGTAATCAATTTCCTATTGTTTTCTACAATTTTGCTATTATTAAACGTAATATAGGTATTAGTTCTCTTATTTTAGAACAATTGTCGTGATTAACTAGCATAATAAATACATATAATTTAATATCATGCAATTAGCTGTTGATATCAATATGCTTAGACGCCAATAATAAACACGCGGCTGTTAGGAGGTCCTTATAACATTTTACAACGTAATAAACCCACCGTAGGATTGTAGGATTAATTTGATTATGGTCAATTATTCATAAAGCGATCGGGGCTCATTCCGTTTTTTATTCTGCGCTAATAAGCCGAAAAGTATCTAATTTAAGTGGCGGTGTCTTTGCCACCAACAAATTAAATCACTTTAGCGTATCGGACAATGAAATAAAATCAATAATACCTAACAGTCGATAATTAAGTGCCATTAACACAATTTCGTCAAATAAAATGTTTGTTTAATTTGCTCACTTAAAAAATGATCGTCGGCAAAATTTTAAAGTAAACAATTTAGGACATTGAGGTTTCCATAAGCTAATAAAACATTAAACATGAACTAATCTCAGGATTACAATGGGGTTTAAAAAAGTAGATAACAAAAGTTGGTGTGGCAGCCAGGATTGCCGCGCTATCTGCCCGCGCACACCGCAGTAAAAGCTCATTGTAACTCGAGCCTCAAATACGAAATTGAATAATGCTGACCTATCCCGCGACCGCCTTGCCCATAAATCACTGAGATATTTATGTCCCTCTACCCCCGCAAGCATGCCACACCCCCTTTCTCGTCCATGACTTATTCGCGTCCAAGAATATAAAATATTAAATAAAAACATACGTAAAATGGCAAGTAATTCCGATTGGAATCGGAGGAGAGCCAGGTTAATGCGGTCGCGCACCTATTCTGTGGTTTCTACGGCTAGCCGCTTTATGCCTTCTATAATGGAAAATTTAATCCCTCCTAAAATAGCCTTAAGTATACATAACGCTAATCAAGTATTTTATTAATAACATGTACTACTACTTATACCTATATTTTTTTTATTTGATCTAATTCTAATACCAAACGATGTGTAGAGGACGTAGTACCTACCTACATATCTGACATAAATGTCACCTCTATGTATGTAGTTGTATGCAGAGTTTCATAAGTACTATATTTTTTGGTATTCTATATACATCCAAGTTTATGCTACTTACATAGATTGGAAGCTGTCAACATCAAATTACGCAATATGGGTGCAATCCAATGAAACGAACATAACTCATTTAAGTAAATTTAAAACATTTGAGCATGTAACATAACAACCGTCTCCCGTACGCATTAACTTTACTTTTATTCCTACTTATTTATGAGAAATAAATAATACTATTAGACGGAGATACCGATTCCTGATAAAAAGTGGACCCGAGTTAAAATGGGAGGCACAGTGGAGGCAGAAAGAAAGTAATGGAGGCGCATCGAACCGGTTTGGAGATTTTTACGAATGCAAGGCTGCTAGGCTCGGCTGCGGCTATGTGCTGCTCGCGGCCACGGCGCGGCAGCGGCGGCGGCGGCGGCGCGGGCACATAACATAACCAACGCGGCCGGAGGATTCGCGCCGCTCTTTCTTCCACGCACACACATGCAACTTACTGATTGTCTGTACAACCCATCTCATGCCGATTATTATCTCTATATGTACACATAACTGGATTCTACGAAGCCTTATTTACTCTATTAAAAATATTTGCTGCGCAAATCTCATTAACTATACGTGCTTCGTTATATGCAAATAAGTGTTTAAACAAGGCTCCTTTGAGAGACCGACCAACTATTTTAAGATTTAGGTTATCGGGACTAGAAATATCGTTTGCAATAGTCTGGAATCGAAGTGTATCGAGCTTGGGCTTGAATTAGAGCATAAACACCTGTCTCAATCGCTAAATCAAGTCGAATGCACCCAACAATAGGTGGACATTTTCGAAGCTATTTCAGATTGTGCGTTGATATTTACATTTCGAAATAGGTTGCAGAGAAAGTATACTTGTGGGTGAATCTTTTCAGAATTTTAGACAGATGCCTATATGTGCGTTTTTGTATATTTACATACAGAACATTATCTACATTATACTATGAATATTGTATATATACAATAAATATTGAAAAATGGCTGGAACGAATCTAATGACATTTTTACTTATATAAAATACTATATATTATGTCGGCAATAATACGTACTTTTTCTATGAGTTTACAAGATTCTCTATAAATAATACATTTCTTAAAAAAAGTAACGCCCTACACTGTAAGGCCTTCATTCCCCCATCTACCATCTAGAGTTCAGGACTTCTGGAGATATGAGCAATATCGAGCAATTTGTTCAAGATCAAAAGAAAGCAATTTCATTTAAATAATTGATATATCCTTAGTTTAGTCAAAAAATAGATAAATCTGATATATTTGATTTATTTAAAGACTTAGAATTATTCTGCCAATTTCTAGTCTATGCCTATATATTTTATATCAACAAATTTATCTAGGTACCTATTTTTTTGTAGTTATTTAAATATATTAGCATACGCAAATGTATGATGTCAGATATTGTCCTAAAAAATATGTTTTACCAGCTGTTTTCACGGCTTCGCCCACGCGAACCCGTAACTACAATTCCCGTGGGAAATTCGGAAAATCCCTTACATATGTGTATACATATATAATATGTATATATGTACATGCGTAAGCACGTCACGTCAGGTAAGTTTGTAGTAGTGAATCATCACTTGTCAATAAAATCTTTTTCTCTAAGGTTTATTTCTGAGTTGATCCTGCATACTTCAATTTTATCACAATTGGATGGTTGGTATTTGGTACTGTACCTATATAAGAATTAACTATACCTAATTGTAAAAATACTTTTAGTAGTAGAAAATAGCAATCGTATTTACGAGACTATACTGAAGCACGTGTCTTGGTAACCTACATTGCTTTCAGGTTGTATGGACAACAATGGCGAATATTTGTTTGGGTGTTTGTCAACATGCGGTTATGTTTGACAACCCATTAGAACGGTCAGGCTGCTATGTATGAACATAAGCAGTTTACGGATGTCTACTAACCTGAAATTATTATTACCTGCTGAAAATATTACGCTAAACTTTTAGTTCTAAACACGAAAATACTCAAATATATATAAGTGTATTCGTATATCATATAAAATAAATAAAACCTTCATTGATCAAATTTACAACTTTGATTTATAATTTTAAGGAACACATCATTGAAAAATGTTACTGTATTACTTATTACACTGAAACCGCTAAAACCGAAAAAGCAATAGATATCTGTATTTGTTAGTTCTCTTAACGGGTTTACTGTAAGAAAAGACAAGAATACCCATAAACCACGTGCAGTACCTAATTAATACCCTGAATAGAAAAACCAAAAATGTCTACAATAAGTGGTCAAATTCCATTAAAAAATATAGGTAACTCAAGCAACACATAAAGGCTTCTAGAAGGTCCGATCACAAAAAAAAACACGATATCCCTTTATTATTCGTTGTATAATTCTTCTTAAATTTTTAAATCTAATAAATTTATTATTTTATTAAAACAAGACAACAACACATTATCTACGATTTTATTGCAAATTAATTAAATACATTTTATTATCAAATATTTTTTTTAAATATATGCATTTAGTTGCCGACAAGTGGATTATTTTTAGATAGGTAGAGTTTATTTTAATTTCTACTCTACAGTACATACTTATTGTTTGGTGTCGACCGTATGTATAACATGAACGAGGTAACGATCTACGAATTACCTATCACCTTCTCCCAAGGCGCGCCATGAAGCAGCCGTGACTTGCGTAGGTATCTAATGTGGTCGTTATTACCTAAACGCGAGATGAGAGAAACGCCGAAAGTGACTTCAAGGAATAGTATGCAACGTGTTATACGTGCATAATAAATCCTATAATTTATATTTATCTATCGTTTTATATTAAAAAAAGTTGAAATTAAATTTTAGTATTAATTATATAACACAAATAAAAAACATGTAAACACACCTATCTATCTAATATATAACTTTAACGTCGGGTAGTGTTAGTATAGGTACTTAATGCGAAAGAATCAGTAGCCGCATAATAAACTATGTAGGTAACATTCAATTCAATTAAAATAATGGTTACTTTGTTTTCTTTGTCTGTGCTGTTATACCTAATGCAACGAACCAAAATATGCACTACAATGAGCTAACCCTCAACAATAAGTTTCCCGTAAGTTGTATTTAACTTTTTACAAAGCACTGTGAGTGACGGCGCATGACACTGAATGCCTTCGACACCAACTTTTATGATAGCCATATATTTACCGAAACTGGCATCAAAATTGAAAAGAATTCATCATTCATCCATTAGTTACAGCGTCAAAATATTTATTGACAAAGCCTGTGTAATTGCAGTGCTACATTCGGAAACACTCGCTACGAAGCTACCGTAACGCCCGCAATTTGTTTCCATTGTTCTACGAACGTAATGTTTATTTACAGCGATTGTCCCTAGCCGCGCACTGAGCTGTTTTCATAACAGAAGTTTCATGAAACCATTGTTTCGGAGACAACTTAGAGCTATAACGGGGTTGCCTTATGCACTTCTCGGATAACATAGGAAACTTCAGTTGAATATAATCAGTCTGCCGTCGGCCCAACATCTTGAGTAAGTAGGTGAGTCGGGGTGAAACACTGGTAAAACACACTCACCTGTGTCATCAGGCGATCAGCACCGGTACCCTCGTCATCCTTGAAGTCGATGTCCGGGTTATAATTAGGCACTAAGTCTTTGAACTTCTCGTCGTGTCTGGTGATGCGGCCCTCCGAAGGGCCGCTGGCCATTCTGTTGTTTTCACTGGTGTTGGGATCGTGCTGGCCGTTGACGAAGGGATCGACACGTCGCATCGGGGGGCGGCTATTGAAGCCACGGCCGGGGCCACATGCCGCCGCCGCGCCCAGCCACAGTAGCACCACCGACAGCCTCATCTCGTAGTCATCACTGAACGCGCGCTCGACGCACGACCAACGCGCGCCGCGACTTAAGCGACACTGAGAGCCGACTCCGAAGCCCGGTGCGATCGTCGGATCACCACCGGGTTCGAAGCCTGCATCCCTTACGTACCGCCGCCACCGTATCATCGCGCATCGCACAACCATGCAGTTTATTCGCATCAACCGAAAATCTCTTGGGATTCCGGAGCATTTATAATGCTCCGGAATCATAAAAATATTATTAATGAAATTTAACTATCCTGTTTGTTGTATCTTCTTTACTTTCACTATAATACAACATGTATAGTATTCATATATACATGAATTTCTTATTTTTTACTCTTAAAATAACACAATTAACTGTTATATTTATTTATTATTATATTTAAAGCTAGCTGTGCCTGCGACTTCGTCCGCGTGGAATTTAACTTTATTTTTCTAAAATAAAAGTAGCCTAAGTTACTCCTTATTACATCAGCAACCTGCTAAAAATTAGTCCCGTTAAAATCAGTCCAGCCATTTCAGAGATTAGCCGGAACAAACAGATAGACAAAAATTGTAAAAAAAAATATTTTCTGTACCTATATACCGTATTTATATTCATATGAATGTAGTAAAAAATGCTTATTTAAATGTTACAGACACTCCAATTTTATTTATATGTAAGTATAAATATGATTGCTTTCTTTGTAGAAGGCTTTTCTTTATGAAAACGGTTTTTGAATTAATAAATGAATAAATTAAAAAATGAATATGTCTAATCATTATATTTAATGTCAATTAATCAAAACTATGATACTTTCCCATATGTCTGTAAACCATACTGTGGCCATTGTTACCCTACTCGTGATAACAGAAACTCTTTGCAGTTACATATACCTAGTAACTGTACAGAGTTTCTGCGCGTGCTGCATATAGCGCGGTATAGATGCGTACGCCGCGATATCATAAACAAACAAAAATTCTAGCATTAATTAGTCCCCTAACAATATTTTTCCCATAATAACATATCTTTCATAAACTTATAAACAGCGATCAATTAGTAGATACATTTACAATCCTAAGAACAAATTATAGTTATTGTATTAAGTTATAATCTATAGTATAAACATTGTTTATAATAGCAATGTAGTCGGTTTATAATTTCAAAATTAAACATAAATATAGAGATGACTAAAAGAATTAAAATTTCCAAAACACGGTGTAGCATTACATAAATACGTACTACCGAATTAATGTTTTCACGGCTGGTATACTGTTTACACGTTCTTTATCGGCGGCGGCTGCTGTAAAGCTCATTGAAACACAATTAGAACTTTGCTCCATAAATTATTAATATTACACATGAGGTCAGTACAGTGGAGTTATTGGGCACCTAACGACTCTTTGTCTCTCAAAACAAGGATATAAAACGTATCGTTGTAATAAGTTGTAATGTAATAAGAAGTTCCACATGGGAAACAGACCTTTAAGATTAAATATTGACACTCAGTCACTTGCGACCACATCATTTTTCAAAATCCATCAAGTCGATGCTCTTACAGATCTTGGCAATGACCTCTACAGCGGTTATTTAGAATTTATTTACCAATGTGTATAAACATTAATTATGTAAATTAGTAGGTGTGTTAACAGCCGTGACTATTTGCTGTATAAGTATATTATAAACTACTTAGGCACTACATTTAATTTATGATTAACTTGTTTATAAAACACACACTAAACACACTACACACTACATGATACACTCTTTCCTGATATTTTTACGTCATAATCACATAAAGTAAAAGCCGTCTTCAATAGTGTGAAATTACAAGAAACGCATCCAGAAACGAGTAATTATTTGTCCGTGACAAGCTAGTAAGCTAGCTGATGAGTGGGGGCGAACAAGACACCAGTGACAAAGACCATATAATCATCACTTGATTGACTGCGTCTACATTGTAAATATGTTAAGCTACAGTCCACACCACTATGTTCTACTTTTTTGATAACGATTACGGTAGTATTACAAATTTAACTAAACCGGCTTACGTAGTCTTAGGTATCAACAAAAAATCTATTTAATGTAAGACACAGATTGGGTATATATATTTTTATTAACTTAATGTGATTAATGTATCATCACATTATTAATGAAATGCATTCCATGTTTTTGGTTCAAAAACAAAACTACGTACCACTTTTATATGAAAAACGAAGGATAACTTGTAAGGAAGGTATACATATATAAGTTTGTATTTCGAAATATTGATATAAGATATATTGTACAGCCTTAATATCTAAGAACTATCCTAATATAAACCTAGTCATTATATTTTCAATCTTAAAGGGTACCATTTCAAAAAAGACTTTAACTTGTCCCATATTTTCATTGTATTGTATACCTAATCGTAGTTTTATTCGGATTTGATTTGAAAACATAATATTATCTTGGTTTTGAATAATAAATTGAAAACTTGGTATAGCATAATTTTAATATCACTAGGTACTACAAAACTAGTCAAAACAACGACTAGTTAAAGGTGTAATATTCAAAATTTAAGGAAATAATAAAACAAGTCATTAATCAACATCCAATATGAAAGAAAGTACCTAACAGATTACTTTGAAAAAAAAAATCGAATAATATAGTTGCTTTATTTATTTCGCTCAGTATTTTTTAACAATAAAAACTTTCTTGCTATTTTATCCTGAAACAGGAAAAACTTCGTTAGTGGAGACATTTATATGCCCATTTGCATAACAGTGACTGCCTATTTAGGACAATTTGTAAGCAGCGCAAGTCCTACATCTATACAATAAAAAATGGGCTGCATAAACAGCTCGTAAATCATAATTTGTCCTTTTGTTTTCCTTTATTTTTCATACTCACACCAGCCGTTAAGTCTTGTGTCTCATAAAAATAATAGTTTAATAGTAAGTATTTCATAAATTACTGTACCTAAGCACATACCTACATACATCATTTTAATATTTCTATAGATAAGGAAAATGCCGCCATGCAAATTACAATGAATGCTGAACAGTTGTTATAGCATCACGGAATTAATACCTATAACGCTAAAATAAATTTAAGGCCACTAAATAACATCGTTAGAAAGATTATCGGCAAAAATACTTAGAATTATGGTCTCGTGTGAACTGATTTTATTTCCGCACCTTCAACAAAAGGGTACAACAAAATGCTAATGCGCCTGACCTAATCATACAAAGCCTTTCAGTGCAAACCGCTGATAAGATAGCTTTGGATCCTTATCTGCGCCGCTGCTAAGCTAATGAAAACTTGTCAAAACATAATATTTTTTCTATACTTACACTATGAATCATTGTAATGTATTACGGGAATCGCTAAGGAGCAATTGTGATGTATACGTTGCCTTATTCATTGTATTATTCATCACAGAGCCAGTAGGTACTTTAGGTGTGGGAAATATATTTAAAAAAGGTACTTACGAATTACATCTGTGGAAACCAAATTCCTGATATTGCAGTAACAATTGACTAGTCTTTGAAACAATTGTTAAAAATTAATAGTGATGATTTTTATTATAATTTATTTTCACATTCTAATATAAGATAACCTCAGATGGAACCTAGCGAAACTTTACAAAATAGTGATATTTAAAATTGGTTCAACGTAACATAAAACTTTTTATGATAAATAAAAGCATAAAAAGTTTTTTATGAGAGATCTCGCATTTTTTAGTTGATTCGTCTTTTGCTTGGTTATTAGTATACTGTTGATTTTGTTACTGTTAGTTTCATACTAATTCTATAAAGATTCAAACCGATTTCTTGTAATGGTAATGTACTTTCACGACTGTTTGACCTCCCAGATGGGGTAGTTAGAGTTTATTGGGGTTGTTCTAGGTGTTTCCAGGAATGCGTTTCCGTCGCCAGAGAGTCAATCAGAAATGTAAATTGACATACATTTTTTTGTCTTGGTCGAATTATAAGTTATAACTCACGATCATTGAGTCCAGGTTGGGGTAACAACTACAAGGCCACTACAATCTAAATCGTTGTTGTATAATATTACTAATAATTAATCTCCTACAAATACGGCCTTAGAAAGATTCTAGGTTCACACCAAGAAAAGTAAAGGAGAGGAAGTTGTAACAAAACAATACACACTTAGTTTACTACATCAATGATCGCTAACATTGGCGCCACTGGTGATTGCGGACAGACGCAAGTAGAAACCAACAATGCTAGTTAAATAATCATAAACTAACCCAATAAACTAATCTTATTGTTATTATGATGTTTTCGTGGCTTGCGGGCTCATTCATGTTTCTGAAAAGGATGTCAAAAGCGATTTAACGTTCACCGGAATGTTAAAATAAATATCCGCTTCGAAAGCCTACAACGTCGAATCAATGTCCTTTTTAACAGGTAATAATTTTACCTGTTTGGCAAGACTCTAAACTATATACATATATGATCACAACTATAACCTCAGATGGCATAATCAGGGGATTGTCAACTAGTATTTTTAATGTAACGTGGTAGAGAGCTGCCTATATCTCCTGATGAATTTGGTTGGTTATATAATAACCGGAAGTTAGTGAAAAAATATTAATCGAAATTGTCGGTTATGGTGTTGGTTAAATAAATTCGTGTGATCAAAATTCTTTGAAATTTATAAATCGTAAATCCAATCAAAAATTTTTTGGATTACGAAATTCAAGCGCGTTTAAGCGCAATCTCACCCGTGAGTGAGTGATCATGCCGCCAAATAGTGTCTAATTCAGTATTGACTTCAAAAGATCCAAAGTTGTAAGAGGCAAAAATCACTGTGCCTGGGATAGTGTTACACTCCGTAGTTAAAGACGATGTAAATCGGGGATCAAATCGGAGATAGAATATACCTACCAGTACGAACAGCATTGATATCAATTTAATTAGGAGTTATATTATATATTGTACTAACATAATGGGTATTCTAACTTTAAAAAATACGTATTAATAATAAACCATTTTAATAATTTAAAAAATAAATAATAAAAAATAGACGAAGTTGAAAACTTGATTATATTAAAATATACCTACAAACAGAATCATTACCATCGTTATTCATGAGATACTGTATAACATTTATGGGGGTAAGTAGGTATTCTAGATATATGACATTCTCGCTGGTCTAGTACATCGTCTTACTACCTATGGTAGCCGGTTAAATTTCTTCATGATACAAACATTTGTAATCGTGAGTAGGTGTGTATTGATATAGATGTTTTTATGTATACATAATTCTATATTGAAAAAAGTACGAACTTGCTTAGTTTAAGATTAATATATGTGAACTGACCTAGGTTATTATTAATTTCAGGATGTTACGTGCATGTGCATATATAACTACTTCCACAGAATTCATACGAATCTCTATGGTACCCAATAGGTTTCACATTTCATAGATATGCACCTACTTAGTATAAAACCTACAAGCAGATTACCAGCTACTAAGAAGGCGGCCAAAGCAAACTGTACCAAGTGGCTGGCGAGTGTCGCGCCGGCACCTTCTCCATACATTTGAGAGCAAACATTATTTTCGTCAAAGCACCGGCCGAGGTGTCGGTGATGGTTAATGGAGGAGAGTGCTGAACACATATACGCGGCCTCTAGTGTTTTAAACTGTTTACTCTTCCATAAAGCTCTCGAGACCTTACACGAATGCGTGTCCCTGACGCCATGGGAGTAGTGACAGATCTCCTCACACCAAACAAACAACTAACCGTACCTAGTAAGTGTTGGTTTAAAAACATACCAATAGGTGAGCATTGTTTGACAACGTGGCCTATTGGGTTACTACCCTATTTAAAAAAATCGGTTGTAATTAGAAACTGTAAAAGCCGTTGATATAAACGGACCGATTAGAGATTATCTGACAACGTAATGTATTCAGTATTAGGTATCTAATAACTTGTAAAGACTATTGTATTATAGATCATATATATTTTAGATCCACAATGCACAAGACACTTAGTCCTGGATTCCTTGGAACTTCATATTTACTTGTTACGTATTACGTAGGTAGGTGTCCGTACACTTTCTTACCTACATTTGTAATTACCAAAACCCTACATTACATTGAAATTTTTCTATTTTTATTATTTTATAATAATTAGTAAAATATTTTGTTACATGTAGGTAATTTAAATATAAACCATAGAAGGAGAACTGACTATTTACAAATGAGCACATGTACGAAGTCGCTGGCACACTAGTGCATAAATAAAATTAAATATAAACCTATTTAATTATGTCCCTGAATTTCATAGTTTGTCTGTATGCATTACGTATTAAGCACATTACGTTTTATAAGACTGACAGAACTTATCCCTGATCATTTTTTAATAATTCTGTAACTAGGTTAATACTTAAAATTTTAATTTCAGCTCATTAAATCTTAATGCATGCGTCAGGCTGTGAGACAATTATAATAGACTGACATAAAACTGCATAAGTTACCCCATCTGGGGGATCTATATCAGTAACTAATAATAATAAAATTATGCAAGTATAGCTTACTTATGCTACAAAGTTTAATATTTTTTTAAAATATCCATAAAATAAGCCTTAAGTTTTAAAGACACAAGGTGTAAAGAAGTCAAACCAGTTTAGCTCATACGTTGCCCTCTAATTGACAAATTGGAATCTTATTAAAATAAAGTTCAATTTCCTAACTGAACGGGCGCTGCCCAGGCGCACATTGATGTGTGTGATATCAGACAGAAGAAGCTTGCCGACCGGGTGCCGACGAGTGCCGATCGGACACGATCAATGCTCAAGCGGCGAGAATAAAAAGTCGGCAGCATTCGAAGCGCGTGCCTCTATGTGTGTGGTCTACTACGGAGGTCCTCCTCGGGTTCTAATTTATTGAAAACGAATTTTCACACCCTTTTTCGTTAATTTTTAGCAAAGTTTAAGATTCACTAAAATTTTTCGCATTATTGATAGCAATGTAAGTATTTGTGTACCAACATACACGCGAGTAAGCATGATAGACTACACCTACAATAAAAAGTCGTAAAACACGAAGAATATTTTTTTTCCTAAGACAATTCACATTATAACGCCAACTAGGCTAAAGCTGCAGAATTGTGTTATAGTTAAACATTAGTGACAACTGATAAACACTTTCATAGAAATTATAACAATAATAATAAATAATACCCAAACAGATACAACTTATAATACTCACGAATACAAATGTTTGTACCGTGCTTATATACTGTATAGCTTTTGTGTACGTTGTATACTTGCGATGTAAGGAGTTGCGGTGTGCTAATCTGCTATACCATCGAGGCCGTCATCGTCGATTGTCATCAATAAACAACACGAAGGTCTGGCTCAAAAAAATACGAAGAAACCAAAATGTTTATATTGTATAAACACCCGTTTATTTTATCTTTTTTACCCGTTTATTACATTTGACGTATATTGTTCCAAAAAAGCCATCTTAATTACATTTTTTTTTTTTTATACTACTATGGTGGCAAACAAGTAATCAATAAATGGTTACTAAAAGCACCAGGGGTGTCACGTGCGCGTTTACGTCACATTAGTAGGTACGTAATCAATAAACTAAACCGGGAGTAATTTAAATCGTTTACAGTCAATATCAACCCAGAATCAGCTAAAAGATGTGCCATTAGAATATATATAATACGAAAATTTTCTAAATCTCTTTTTAAAGCAAGTTAAAAATTAAAGAAGGTAGGAACTCGGATTCCCTCTTTTATCTTTGTCTCAATACAATAAGAACAATAAATATACCATAACTATAACATGAATAACAAAGAAAATATTGATAAAATTATTAATTAGATGATGTGCATCTTAGATCACCTTGTACAAGTTTTTCTAAGGTCTCACTAGTATAGTTGGAATCTTTAGAAAACCTTATAGCATTTCCAGTACTGTTTGTACTTAATTCTGAATATATAGGCATCAATTCCAAGTTATTTAAATCAGATGAAGACTTATCTGTCTCACATTTCCACTTGTTCACAATCATTTGCAATGGCTTCAGACATTGTAAGCTCTGTTTAATTCGCAGTAATTCAATATTACATTGATTTTCCACTTCCAATATCTTAAACCTATAAGCCTTAGCCAGCATTTGTTTTCTGATGATATTTTTCTTCTCTAGTTGAACCATATTCAATGTGTTCTGGTATTTTTGCAACTGTTTCTCATATTCTATGAGATTTTCATCGCATTTTAGTTTACTATCTACACTAGCCTCATAAATATTTCTTGCACTTGGCAATTCTTCCGTATAGATGTCCGAAAAAGAGACGTCTGGATATGGCGACGGGAGCAATCGTGCACATTCAGATACATATGAACATTGACGAATTTTGCTTTCTTTTTCTAATTTAGCCTTTTCTTCCTTTAATTCCATCTTGAACGATTCTATTATTTCTCGACATTGTCCAATCCTATGTTTCAATTTCATTTCATTTTTGTCAATCATATTAGTAGTGATTTCATTTTGTTCAGACTTTATTGTAGCTACATTGTCTGCTAACTCCTTATCTTCTAATTTTTCAACATTGACATGAACAGATCTTGGAGATAACGTCGTGTCATCGCCAGAAGCCAGATTAAGAGAATTCATTATATACCAATTATGTAATTAAAATAACTTGATAAATTCGCCTAAATCAGTATAAATAAATAGTATCATCAAATATATATTTTTACTTATGTCACAGTGACAACATCAACATTTTTTTAAGATAACTGTATACAGGTAGCTACCTACTGATATGCTTGTAATTTATATTAAATTTTATGAACGTAATGTTGGTAAAAATAATACTAGATTACAATTAAGGATTTTTTGGAGTCGGTTGAAAAAATCGATATGGTCGATTATTATTATCTCTATTAGGATAAAAAAAAACTTTAATTGAATAGAAATAGAAATAATCTTTATTTATAAATAAATTTAATATAAGCGCTTTTGAATAGTCAAGTTTTTTTATTTTACCGCTCACTCGGAATGCAGTCTCATCACAAGAAGAATGAGCAAGAAACTTGTGTGTTGCTCTTTTAAATAAATATTGTTTTAATTATATTTACATTAACAAGGATTAGGCATGCGACAATCAACATAGAAACCGCTACGCACTTAATCTTTGTGCAATCAGATAACATTGTCAGCGCTATGAATTTTAAGATGGACATTTTCTACAAAAACATTATTATTTATAAATTCATCTAATTTATAATAAGCTTTTTCACAAAGAAAATATTTTATAAGACATTTGAATTTTTTAGTACAGACTCTGGCAATTTGTCGTAAAACCTTACGCAATTTCCATAAAACGAATTACTAACTTTCGTTAAAGGGCACTTAGGTAAAATTTATTTGTTGATATTACGTAAGCTTTTATTAGTGTAATCACCTACTTTTTTAAAACTGTAAATGTTCTTCTTGGCATACATGACATTTTCTTAGATGTATTTAGAAGCAACGGTGAGAATATTTAATTCTTTAAAACACTCACTCAAAGACTCCTTGGAACCCACGGTATGGGTTCCAGAAGCGAATTGCTCTATTTTGCAAAATAAATACTGTATTTATATCAGCTGCTTTGCCCCATAATAAAATACGGTATGACATAATGCTATGAAAGTAGCTAAATACACAAGTTTAGCCACGTCTGTTAATTATCTAATTCTTCTTACCTCCTAAGCGGCAGAACTAAGTCTATTCGCCAATTTAGAAATATGAGCACCCCATTGCAGTTTGGAGTCTAATGTGATACCAATAAATACAGTATGATCAAAAAGTTAATAAGTTTATTGTATAATACGCTCCCCAATGTAAGGAAGGTAGACTACCTTCCTTACATTGGGGAGCGTAAATTTAATACACTTTGTTTTATCTGCATTTAATAGCATATTATTAGCAGTAAACCATTTTAAAAGAGAAAAGAGAGCACTGTTTACTTCTTGCATATTATTAATATGTCGATTGACTTTAAATATTAATGAAGTATCATCGGCAAACAGAACTGTCTGCCATTTTTACTTCTATGTAAAGAAGGTCATTTATGTGAACTGAAAATAAAAAAAATCCAAGAATAGATGGAACACCCATTTTAAGACTGGAACCTTTGGACCTTACACTATTTATTTCAACAATATGCATTCTAGCCATTTTATTATCTAAATAGGATTTCATCATCTTTAGAGGTAATATGATTAAACACGTAAGTTATTCATTTTTGACCAGCCAGTTCCTATATTAGGAAATAGTTCATAGAAGAAGTGTATACCATAACCATCGCCGCACCAGTCTGCTTTATCTTTTGCTTTTAGTAACCAATAACCGTTATTTTAGTATTTTTTTTATTAATATTACACATAGCTTATTTTCATTATGTATAATATAGATATTTATCAGAAAGGCAAAGGGAACTGCGCCCATACAGCCATGTACAAAAATAAACTTTATCAGACTGACATTGAATGACAGTCAACGCAGTATAAAAACCGTCAGTCATATCGCATTTCAAAATTTTGACAATTAGCCACAGCACAGATGGGTAAGAATAGTTATTGGCGGGTAAATTACTAAATTCCATATTATATATTTTCATTTTGCTTTCTGTTCTTGTGTGTTTACATTTATTACATTATCGAAAATTCCTGCAATAACTTACATTTTTCTTTCCTATAATGGGTCTATTGGATTTGTGTAATAAGTATTTTAATACGACTAATCTTTACGAAATACTTGGAATTTCCGAAAAGTCTACAGAAAAAGAAGGTACATATACATAATAATTTTTATTATATTAGTTACTTTATAATATTTATACTGTTTGGCGTAACGTTATAAGAAAGAACTCGTTTTTCATATGGGTATATATGTCTAAATTCTGCAAAACAGCGAAAATGCTTCAAGATTACGATTTAAATAATAGTAAATAAAGATTTTTGTTTTTATTTGCCAAATTCAGGTCTTTAATTTGTTCATTAAAAGTTAATATTATATCTAATATTTAATAGATGTAAAGCTTCTTAAAAATGGTTTTAAAATGTTTTTTGTTGTTCTCTTTTACCAATTAACGGAAATCTGATGTCACAATAATATGATATTAACAGCCAGATATTTTCTACAACAAATTTATTGAAACTTGTAAACTAGAGCTTCTAAAATGACATCTTTTTGTTGTCCTTTTCAATCAAAGTCGCATACTTATATACCTACAATTAAAAGTTGCATATTATCATTTTCTTCATTAAAATTATTGATAAATCTTAAATCTCTGTTTCAGTAAAGAAAGCATATCACAAATTATCATTGAAAGTACATCCCGATAGAGTGGAGGAAAATGAGAAACTGGAAGCAACAGAGAAATTTAAAGTTTTAGGCAGTATTCATGCTATACTTACTGATGAAAATAAACGAGCAGTATATGATGAAACCAAGAGTGTTGATGATGATGACTACAATGAAATAGCTGAACGAGACTGGATGGTGTATTGGAGGTTATTATTCAAGAAGATAACATTAGAGGATATCAAAGCTTATGAGAAAGAATATGCTGGTAAGACACCTACCATTCATTAATGTTGATCAGATTATTGAGTAGTATTGAGATACTCATAAACCTGAGATGATTTTGCAAACCAAAATACATTTATAAGCCGTTTCTAGATATTATTTTGAGGCCTTTATGCATATGTTGGAGTTTGCAACTGAACCCCATATTTGTATGCCAAATAGGCCCAAATTGCCTAGCAACCAATATGTTAGGTAGAAATGCAACGTTATCCCTTAACAACAAACTTCTCTACAACTCTGTATTGAAACCAATTTGGACTGTATTTTATGTTCAATTAATTATAATTGAACATAAAATACAGTCCAAATTGGTTTCAATCAAGTTTCAACAACAAATAAAAACCATACATCCATCCATCTCAAGGAATAATAGAAAATCACATTTTCATTTTCTCATACTTTTTATTGTGTGGCTACCACATTCTTTCATTGTATTTAGACCATTTTTAATTGCAGGTTCACAACAAGAACGAGAAGATCTTAAACAAGCTTACATGACAGGAAAGGGCAACATGGATTATATAGTAGACCATGTTCAGTTTGCACGAACAGAAAATGAGCCTCGTATCAGAGAAGTTCTGAATGTATGTATAAAACTAAGTAATTTATTAAACAAAAATTAAGTAAATCCTTGTATTCATTATTATTTACAAGCTGTATCCAAATACAGATATTCATTTTGTAGTTCTGCTATTTTATTTTATAAAATTTCGAAATTTAAATTAAACCTTTTGGGTCATATCCATACTACTACAAATTATATTCCAATATGAAAGTAAACTCTGAAGTTTTTATACTAAATTAGTCATGCAGTTGAATATTATATCCAATATATCATTCTAATTTAAAAAAAATCATTTTTAGGAAATGATAGAGAAAGGTGAAATTCCATCATATAGAGCTTTTACACATGAGCCTGCAAAGAAACGTCAAAGAAGAATTGCCAAGGAAAATCGTGAAGCTAAAGAAGCAGAAGATGAGAAAAATAAGATAGGAATTGGATCTGGTATGGTTTTCACTTATAGATAAATGGAAAGTGTACATTGACCAGTACATTAATTACCTATATTATTTAAATAGATTACTATTGAAAACATATCTTTTCTTATAATTTCAGAACCAAACAGTTTGGAACTTATGATAAGGCAAAAACAGGAAGTTCGAGGACAACAAGTTGATTCATTTTTTGAAAATTTAGCAGCCAAATATGGTAATAAAAAAACCAAGACAACTAAAAGAAAAGCAGCAACTAAAACTGGGACAGAGTCTAAAACAAAACGAAAAAAGTGAATTTAATTTATATTAAAAACAAATACAGCTCAATTTATTTATTAAAAAGGTGAAAAACTATTTTTTAATAACAATAAAATCAACATTTTTATGTATTTGAAATAGTTCCTTGTTTATTTACGATTAATAAGCAAATAATATTTATTATGTCAAATTTTAATCGCCTTCTTCCATGGCTACATCCATTGTAGATTCTGAAAAGAATGGTCCTTCTTGGATGTAAGTTTGTATTCTACCAAGAGTATCTTCATCAAAAGCCATAGAATGTGCTAGCTTTTTAATTACTTCATACTTAGCTTCTTTTGCGGCCTTAGTATAATCCACAGAACGATCTAGAAGATATTCTATAAATCCTGAAAATATACATAAATTACATAACTATGTACTGCAGTATACAGTATATATTTAGCAGAAAATATTGTGCTGCTATGCATATAAAGAATGGAAGTAGTTGATACTAGTGAATAATATCATTCTACCATTCATACTACTTATACTGGTAATGTGGAAAAATATTACAATATTTGCACCTTAATAAAAATTACATTACATATATTTTATACTGTAGTTATTAATGCAAATTAAAATTGTACACTGTAACAGTCACCACACAAAATATATATATATATATATATATATATATATATATATATATATATATATTATAGTAATCCATATTTTTTGATAATGTATCATATTAGCTTAACATCTCATTCCTGATGAAAGCCATAATTCTAATGAAAATCAAACTATTAATCATCTAAATATTTTAAAATATTTGAAATATTCTGGAATTTATTATTTTCATTACATAATTTAAAAATTGGATAATAATGGCAATTAATTAGGGGTCTACCTTTGTAATCATAGATGAAAAATAACACTGATATTGCACTCACCACCAACTCTTGCCACAAGTTCCTCCCCCCACTGATGTTGGCAAGCTGCATTTAATAAATTAAATGCAGCTAATCTAATATCAGAAAATGGATTCTTACAAATATCACACAAAAATTTCATTGGATTTTCACTCAGACATCTGAACCACTCTCTTGTCATTAAAGTCACCCTATGATCAATTGGGCCACTCTTTGGTACATTAGTATCTTTATCCACAGCTATTAGACTTGCAAAACAATGCAAGGCGCGAATTTTTATTTCCGTTGCACTATTTCTAATTAATTGTGCAACTTTTTCAACAGCTTGTGTGTATTTGCTGCCTGAATAATAATCAGAAAGAAATATTTATAATGTAAAACAGATAGATAAGATACACAATTCGTCAAGGCTAGTTTTGTTACAAATTCTACTGGATCCTAGATGATTTTACTGATGACTTATGACACAGTAAAAACATCATTAAACTAGAAGATATTTTGATAATGTTACTTCAAAAATGTCGCTTTTACTATCATTCAGATAGCTATTACTAAACAAATGCTTGTATGTAGTCACATTCTACACACTATAGACTTACCATTTTATAAGGTGAATGACAAACATTGCTATATTAATTTATATTACAGTTGTTTGTTGTACCTTTCATTTAATTTGTTATCAATAAATCTTAGTAAAACCACTTCATTTTTGTTCGTAACATAATATTCTAATTGAAGATTGCAATTATATAATCAATGAACATATATGTATTCATAGAATTTTCCATGAATACATATTCCATTTCATGTCATAAATAGTATGCTTTGATTTATATTAACTATGAGTATAATACATACCTAAAGATACTAAAGATAATTTTCCTTCTATCGTAGCACCAATGAAGCCCAGTGTATCTAGAGCTACTAACAACAGAGTTTGATCACTAGAATCAAAAGAGTCAAATAGTAAATCCAATAGAGCAGGATACTTGTTAAGTATTTCTTTGGGATAGTGATGAACAATACATCCAAACAATTTCATGTAACCTGCAAAAAGTATATATTTGTGTGAGATATATTTGTTGTGAATATTATATACTTGTTTTTTTTTTTATACTAACATAAGGTGTAACATAACTTCAAATACATTTTGCACTTACAAACTAAGAATTTTGTGTTATTACCAAATACACAAGTTTATAGAAAGAAACAAGATATCTAAAACTACATCACAAAAGTGATATAATTATGAAGTATAATGATTCAGAAATAATTATATCAATATATAGCAGTACATTATCATTGGATTGTGTGTCAATATTATTTTACAAATAGTAAGAATTATGCTTACCAGGTATTACTAAATTACCAAGTGGACTGTTCTGCAACTCTCCAATTAATTGTGCCATCTGTTCCAGGGCACCATTTTTAACAAGATAATTTATTCCTTGTGGTTTAACAGCCAAACAAGACAGAAGCTCAAGTATATTAACTTGATAAAGCAGATCATTTGATTGTAGTTGTGATACCATATATTCTATATAACCCAAATCTGCACATAACTTGAACAGTTCAAAAGACTTGCATGAAATATTAACGACAACCTGAAATTAATTTGTTGTTAATAAATAATGTTAATTATGCTTTAAAAAAATATACTACTACAATAATAATAGTCAATATTATAACTTTTTATTTTAAAGAACATTATTATTTTGCACTGGCTTCTTACAGAAATAAAATATCAAGTATGTAAGAAAAACATAAAAATGTCATGATTCTAGTGTAAATTATTTATTATGCTTCCTAATACCAAGTATAAACTTTGTGTATTTTAATATATTTTATCAGTATTAATACAATTCACAGAGTAAATACCTCAAATGCATTACACTTGCTGCTGACAGTATATTCTAAGGCAATCTTCATTTCCTCTAAAACTTTAGGATATGCTTCAAATGGTAAGCTAGAAGAGATCAATACAGCCTTATTTGCCACAGTGATATCTTTATCTGAAACTAGTTGTGCTACTGCTATGAATACATTAATATATTCAGGTACAGGTAGAAGCCCAGGATTTAAAATAGCACATTTACTTATCTGAAACATTCAAATGAATGATTTAAATTATCGGAACAATAAACATTTTATATTGCAATTTCTTCCTACCTCATCAATTGCAAGTCTCCGAACGCATTCTTTTTCATGCCGTAATAAATACATTATATGACCAGTATACTTCTTCACTACATCACCTACTTGAAATTTGCCAAAACATATTTTTAAAACTTCGCAAGTTAAATCTACTTGAGATCTGCAACATAATAGTATATTTTTAATAATATATTAACAATATTGGTACTTTAACCACATTTATAATAACTAAACTTACTTATCAGTCACATTAAGACAATGAACAATCCTAGCGATTCCGACATCCCTAATAGTGGAGGCAGCTTCGGCTGCGGGTTTTAATTGGAATAGATTTTTAATATCATTTAGTGCCTTAGATCTATGTTCTTCTTGACTGAGTTTTTCTATAAATCCACGATATTGTTCAGAGTCTTGATTACTCATTCTTAGTTACCAATTCGAAATGCAGGGCAAAAATACAATCAACATAAAATTGTTAAAAACAAAACAAGGTCGTATACACAGATAACAGCAAGGATTAGTCTTTCAGAGAGTCAAGTGCACAAAGTATAGATGAATCGTTACCGCCAGTGTTGGCAGATATACCCCATATTTTACCCCATCATTGTCAACAAAATATTCCCTAATCACTACGCGCCGCGTCGCCATGCCATCATGCTTTACATTATTTGCTACTGTATTTCTGAAGATTACAATGTGGAGGGATTTGAGTGAGGTTAATAAAACATTTTGTTATAGTATATACATTTAATGTCTTGTCTTGACGATATTTATTGACTTACTAGTCAATAAATATCATTATATGCAAATATTTTTAAGTTCGTAGCAATAGGTACACAATCTGACTTATCAAATATTCGATTTTTAAGATATCAAAAAACTGGTTTCTCAGCATGTATAATTTACTGCGAATGTTAAGAAAATGGACCACAATATTATTTTTTTTTTGTAGTTTACCATATTTGTATTGAACATTCAAAGTAAATTATACATACCGCTAAAAATTATATCCGAGTTAACTGTACGAATTTTTTGCCCGCCAATCTAAAAATTCATCTATATCATCAACTTCATTGCCATCTTCATCTTCATTGTTTTCACTCATTTGCTCTTCCATATCCTGGTTTTTTTTTTTGGTTTCCTCTTTTTTTAATTCCAGCTCAAGTACTCTAAAAATATTAAAAATATAAAATTAATTATACGAACCTCTCTATTTCTATATAAGATAATATACGATTATAAATATATACTGAGATTTATCAATTTATATTTCAATAGTTTTTATTGAAAAGTAATTATAAACGATGAATACTTGTAACAAAAGGCACTTGAGATCTTTGAATTAATTTTTACAGAAACATTAGAATTAGTTTTTTTAAATGGTACTACTTAATATAGTAATGTAGATGTTCTGTTCTACTCAAAATACAAATTTAGATCAATACATTACAAGTATATTTTAAAAAATATTACATATCAATAATAATTACTTTATAATAAATAGATAACATGAATTACTGATGAACAAACGTCATAATAATGAATTTATATTGTAATAAACATATTTTGACAGCAGTGCAATTGATTTTGTATGTTCAAATTCAAAATATCTTTATCATGTAGGTATATTATAGAATCTTATGATATGTCAAATCTACCGTCAGTTCGGAATGATGTCGAGAGTGATGTACATAGTGTTTTACAGGGTATTGTAATATGTTAAGTTTATATGAAATACATAAGTAACGCCTGTATGTAACAACCACGTATGTAGGTATGTAATGGTACCAGCGTTATATAATATTCATTTTCTGTCCACACTGGTCTGACGTGTACTGCGAACTATGACCACCCATATTTCACGGCGCATGTCATCCCTGCAATATCAAAATGTATTCTAGTACCTATAGATCGGATACGAAGTCCGTCACTTTCTTTTATTTTTTATAGATATTGTGAAACCTGTTACTAGCTATAGGTACTATTGGTTTGTATGTTTTTATTAATTGTTAGTCATTTTTATATATTGTGTGTGCTGTTTCGAAATAATAAAAACAATATTAACGGTTATTTATTAAGAGTTAACGAGTAACGTTCTGTATAAACATACCTAGACCAATTGCGTATTTGTTCATCAATTTCGTCGATTTGTCGCTCTGCAGTTGCTTCTTCTTGCTCACCAGCTATAATTTCTGCAGAGGCGCTAGCTTCTTCTTTCATTTCTTTTTGAAATCTGTCCCACTCCTCTTCAACTGGATCTTTGTATTCGATATTTCTTACCTAATCCAAATTTTATTATAAATATATTAAATACCGGATAAATAAGCTGTACGTAAGTTTAATGACTTACGGCAGGTGTATTTAGTTTATTACGGAATAGGCATTAAAGCCTTACATTCCAATCCTAGCAAGCGGGATAATAAACGGAGGAATAGTGTGAGTGTGAGAAAACTACGGCATGGTTTAGTTATGGGTTTTGCTCTTTGCTGAAGTCAGTGGTGGACTTCTTCTGAATTGACTTCTATGCGACATCGAAAGAACCATTCGCTTAGTACGAGAACGGGTTTTTGAAGCCGTTTGATAATTTGTTGGCGGGACTTAGCATGGCATTGTAAACAGGGCTATGTCATCTGGCGGAGTGATGTTTTGCCTTTTAAGTCATCGGAGAAAAAGAGTACATGTGGTATGATTAAAATATAGTTTTACTAAATATATGGGTTAAATCACAAAGGTAGCAACACTGTCGAAAACTGTCAAAATCAAAGTTTCATATCATGCGCCCCAATGCCCAGTATAGTTAATCATTGTTTGCCGTACACTGTCACTGTCATTGACCGCTTTTATCATTATTTATGTTCGATTTAACTGTCAGAAAAATACCTAATAACAACTTTAAGCATAGTTACTAGTCACCACTACTGTATTTTTGGACCTTTAAAGTTGAGCAGTTTAAGAAAAGTGAACATCATTAAGTGATCAAAATTCTATCAACAGCAAAATACTAATGATATTTACAAAACAAATCAGGACCAACTTAAAAATAGTAACAACTCCTTTAAGATACATCATGGATAATTCAAGTTCAGATCAAATTAAATATATAAAGGATTGTATACCAAAATTGGATGGAACTACTCATAAAGGTCAAGCAGGAAGAATAGGGGTTGTAGGAGGATCCTTAGAATACACAGGTGCTCCATACTTCGCGGGAATAAGTGCTTTAAAAGTATGTATAGCTTGTTTAGAATACTATATTTGTACATATTACAAAGAGCTGTACTGTAGTTATATTTTCCATCTACATAAGTTGATTAATAGAGATATTAAGAATATATAAAATTTTTCGAAATCTAATATTTGAATTTTACTGAGACAGCTATTTTCCTTTACAAGTATGCCTTACAAATACTCAAGCATGTATCAGCTTTCACACAATTAAGGATGTTTTTGTATTATATGTAGCCAAAGAATATGAGAAAGACCACAGTCGCTGCCAGGTCGCACATTCCTGCTATTTTCAATCCTGAGTAATTTAATGGCTTTTTGCAATAATTGCAACATGGTCATTTAACTATAGAGCTATTGATATTATAATTTATAAATCTTGAACATGTCTTTGGAAAATAAAATCTGACGATTATGAATAAAATCTCCTGATGATGCAACATGAACAAATGTGTTCTGTAAGGGATGCTAAAGACAATTGTTTTAACTTACATTTGATTATGTTAAATTAATAAATCAAAATAGGTAACAAATATATTTTGTGGAATGATTTAACATCACATTCCTGTAAATTATGGTTCATGTTCTTTTATTAGGTTTACCTAAAATAAAAACTATACTGTTTATAGGTTGGGGCTGATTTAGTACACATTTTCTGCACATCAGTGGCGGCTAATGTAATAAAGGCCTATAGCCCTGAATTAATTGTGCATCCCTTACTTGATTGTCAAAACGCTATTGAAGAAATATCACCATGGTTGGAAAGGCTACATGCAATAGTAATTGGTCCTGGATTGGGAAGAGCACCAGAAACATTCAATGTTGTTTCTGATTTAATTAACAGAATTAGGGAATCTAAAATACCTTTGATTATTGATGCTGATGGACTATTTCTTATAACAGAAAAACCTGACTTGATTAATAATTTCTCATCTCCAGTTATTTTAACTCCTAACAAAATAGAATTCACAAGACTCAGCACAAAGTTTAATTGCCCTGAAGCATTAAATCAGAAGTTTGGGAGAAACATAACTATAGTGAAAAAAGGACCAATAGATGAAATATACAGTATGAATCCTACAGTAGTATGGAGTGTAGGAACAGGAGGATCCGGACGTAGATGTGGTGGTCAAGGAGACATTTTATCAGGATCCATTGCAACATTTTTAAATTGGACTATAAACAACATAGATAAAGCTGAATTTAAAACAGATGGTAAAGATTTAGCTGTTGCATCACTAGCATGCTATGCAGCCTGTTTATTAGTAAGAAAATGTAATGAAAAGGCTTTTCAAGTTAAAGGTCGTAGTATGTTAGCCACAGATATGATTGACTATATTCATGAAGCATTTGAGGAACTATTTGGTCAATGAAATTAATTTATTTTTTATGTGAGTAAGTAGTGTATTGTTATTTATATAATTTCTTGAACAACAATAAATAAACATATTTAAGCATTCTTAAGTACCTACACATATGTATACTATTATATTACTCAATCTCTGTAATCCCTGTACTCTTCTTAATGGGAAAATTTAAATGGTGCTAAATAATTACAGTGGTTGAAAAATAGATGATATCAATTATATATATTGCGCTATTTTGGTATAGCTTTTATAATATTACTATATTTGTATTTTATATATGAGTAAATATGTTACGGTATTAAGTTTTATATTATTTTTAAATACTTGCCTTGGCATCCAAAATTGGATCATCAAAAAACCCTTCTGGTATAGGCTGATCAGAAGATTGCACTTTTATATCTTGCTCCTGAATGTCTGTTGATGCTTGAAGTTCTGTTAAAGTAAAGAGTTTAATTTGTTTTCAATGTTACGTTAAAATTTATTTGTAAGATAATGTTACTTCATAATATCTATGTTCTATTTTGATTAAGATTTATTACAGAATTCCAAAATGTCACTTGTACACAAAGAAACAGCCATACAAATACTGTACAATGTTATTAATGGGAGCACTATTTCAATCCCTTCACATTTGCATAACTATATGACCATGACCCACTGTTGTCAAATACAAAATTTAAAGTATATTTTAAGATAATTCCATCACTTTGTCTTAACATTGACTGTAAATCACCTTACTAAATAAGATAAGTAATAAACACTTGGACTGTGGTTAGAGTAGATAGATAAAATGAGACAGTCATGTTTTATGACAAAAGTAAAAAGTTTTATGAATATTATATAAATCCAAAAATCTCTTAAATTTTAAAAAGCAAACCTAGAACATAAATATACTATATGCCATACACAGGGATAAATGCTCTATGAGCAAAACACTAACAGTAATCAGTAACGGAATGCAACTATGCACAGCATTTACCAATGCTAAATATATAATTATAATTAAAAATACAAATTGATAATCTATCCTGATATATAAATGTGTAAGTGTATATATACAATATGTACCTTGCTTGCTCTCAACAGGTGGCCCAGAAATAAGAGGTGATCTTTTAATTTCTTCATTATGATATGATATAATATGAGGAGCATTATTGTTATATTTTGGTGCAACTGTGGGAACTGCTTCCCCAGCATTTTTTAATATTCCTTTTAGTTTCTTTTCAGCTGGAACATCTACAGGAGGACTCATTCTTTTCTGTTTTAATTTCCCAACAGTAAAATTGTTTGTTAACTCTTTCAACTTCTTAGCTTTATCAATATTTTCCCTATGCTGTTTACTGTTCATATGTACAGTCCATACATTTTCAGATCTGACTATAGAGTTACAAAGTATACAAGTTAGCTGGCCTGCATTGTTGTATTTGGCAAGGGGGTTATCTATTTTCATTAATTTTATATTTTTCTTTTTGCGTTCAGCCATCAGTCGCCGCATTTCCTCTTGGTTCTTATTCTTTTCCACTTGCATTCGGGAAGACATTTTTTATGGATTATTAAAGAACAACAGAATTTAGAATAAAATTGTTGTAAGCAAAGTTTTAAAAAGATCTAATGAAAGTTAAATCGTCAAATGGCATGCCAGTTGAATATAGAACCATGCCACTGTAGTATTCTTATTAATTTAATCACAAATTCAATGTTTAATTTAAACATTAAACTTTACAATATGATTTATTGAAATAAACAAATTACGACACAGAATCAAGTTGACTGACATGATGATATATAATAGTAAAGGGTCACCACATTAGCTGTCAATGTCAAAAATCACGCAAGAGTTCGAGAATCTGTGCACAATCAAGCTCTATGAATATAGGTAAATTGTGATTTTAATAATCTTACTAATATTTGCCAAAATGAGCTAATCATGTATTTTTGTCGATCATAATAGAACCTACTTTACCTTATAAATTATTTAATGTTTATATAGGGTTATATACTGTTTTAAACTTGACGCGGCCATTATTTATACGTATAATTAGTAATATATTATATAAAACATGGTAAGATCCCGTGATTTTTACTAATTATACGTATATATAGGGTTAGTTACTAAGAAAAATTTTATGATGAAAATTTGCAATGCGTATAGTTTATAGTAAACTGATTGGCGATCATAGATTATAGTATGTATGTATGTATGTATGTAATATAATTAGATCAAACTGGATACAGAATAGTTTATTCAATATATATATTAAACAATCTTAGTAATTATTTGACTATGTTTGGCAGATGAAAACTTTTTTTTACTATACATATTTTTTTTATTTGTCAGTGTTTCGAATACTGATTGAACTTTGATTGAACACTGAACATTCAGTGTTAGAAATAATTTCATGATGGATACTAAAAAAAGTTTGTGTCATTACTGTGCGTATAATATTGGTTATTCTATTAAGTAGGGCTGCCATTTAACATTTTTTGCCACTATGACATAATTCCGATTATGTGCTCGAGGCCTAAGGAATTAGAGTCTCAACGGTTATTTTTTTACGATTTTGAATTTTGTAATAGACAAAGAAAATCTAGAGAATTTCTTGTCAATTTCAGGTTAGTCTTTGCTACTTCAGTTGGTATTCACCAATTTTTTCGGGTTTTACAGCAGTAAATCCACTACTTTTTTTGTAAATACTTCGGAATATTATTAAGTTTATTGTTTTGTGAATTTGTGTCAACACGATAATCAATAATTGTCTTCTTGAGAATTCCTTAAATCGTTTGTAGAAAATTACTTACTCGCGATTGAATAAGCTGTGTTTATCCCTCATGCTGTGATATTTCACTAATATTTTAGTTCTACAATGGACATCGACGTTAGTAAAGAGAACATTCAACCATTAAGAGGTGGTAGAAACTTTGTGCAATTGGGTACTGCATTGCAAGCGCAGTCCGACGTTGATGCTCAAAGACAGTTGCAGTTACAGAAGGAGTTAGTTGTTTATATATTTTATATTATTTTCCATTAAAGACTCTCTTTTTTCTTAATGTAAATTACTTTATTAAAGTCTGATCAAGTTAATAAAATATCCTCACAAACTTTATGATCAATATTACTTAAATTTTATAAATTACTCAATATTTAACTTCTGTATAACAGAGAACATGAAGCAGCTATTAGACACTATCAGGGCCCGGATCCTTTGGATCCATGGTTCAACTATATTCAATGGGTAGAGCAATGTTATCCTAAACATGGCCATGAGGGGCATATGGATAAACTAATAAAAGATTGCCTGCAATTATTTGAGAAAGATGCCAGATATTTTCAAGATAGAAGACTTGTGAAGTTATGGATTAAATATGTAAGTTCCCAACATCTATACTCCTTACATTAATGGTTTATACTGTATATAGATTGTAAAATAACTGATAAATATAAAAAGACTCCTGTCCCTTTTTTAATAATTTGATTAATAAGTATTGCATTTACAGTACATTTGGTATGAAATGTAAATAGTATAGTGATTAATTAAGTATATAATGCTAAAACATCTGTATTTTTTAAAATAAAGATTAATTGCTGAATCTATTATAAAAAAATGTAAGATCTTAACAGTTCAAGTTAACTATGAAATAATTTTTTTACCAGTATTCTCAAGTTTTAATGTAGTGCTCCAAAAATAAACACAATTGATTGAAATGGTTAATTTGATCATTATAAATAAATAAATTGAACTAAATATTTAAAATTAGCTTAAAGTTAATTAAAAACTACTCAGCTTGGCTTGCCTCAGTTTCCTAAATAGGGTTTTATTGTGAAAAATGGTTCAAGAAGAGAAAATAGATTTAAATTGCAGTTATAAATTTGTAACAAAATACAATAGATATTCTATATTTATTAGAAAGTCACAGAAGACTAATAGTTAAAATGTGTTTATATTTAGAACTAGCTGTTTCTCGTGACTTCATCCATGTGAAATTTAACTTTCATTTTCTAAAACACAAGTAGCTTAAGTTACTCCTTATTACATCAGCTATCTGCCAATAAAAGTCCAGTCAAAATCGGTCCAGCCATTTCAGAGATTAGGCAGAATAAACAGACAGACAGACAAAAATTGTAAAAAAAATTATTTTGGTGTATGGAGGTACATATTTATATTCATATGTATGTAGTATAAAACAGTTATTTCAATATTACAAACAGAATTTTATTTATATGTATAGATGTATAGATGTTATAGCCCCTAAGAATTATCATGACAATCTATTGGATGCAGATGTATTTTATCATAATAAATGTGGCTACTTGAGATGTAACAGTGTTTTAAATGTAAAATAAATACATTTAAAACACTGTTAGTATCTCAAGTAGTTTTCTTCAACTTCAGTCTGTTATGTCTCTTTTAATTTAAGAAATCAATTTTAGGTGGACTGTCTTTCTAATCCATTGGAGATCTATCAAAGGTTGTATAATACTGGAATAGGAGTAGAATGCTCCGAGTTCTATCGAGCCTGGGCATGTTACTGTGAAGAGTCTGGAGATTACAAGAAAGCTAATCAAGTCTATGTGCTTGGTTTGCAAGCTAAAGCCCAACCATTAGATGAACTTGAGCAAGCCCATATGTGAGTTTACTTAATGTTTTTTAAAAACTCATACTTCCTAAATTTTCAAACTTACTAGTAGACATGCATGTTAGTTATTTCTAGAAAATTCTAGTTTCTTTGTGGGATGATAATGAAATGGGGCAGCCCTCTGTGCTAACGGTTTACGCTGGCAGGGCACCAGTGGAGGATGATAAGATGAGCATCCTCTTCACTAACTTTTAAACTATAAAAAAAAATTTTGATACAGATTTCTCTATTATTGAGAGATTTTCCTTTTGAGTATCCATGCAACATTATGGCCGTCATTGGATACAGTGTAGTTCTCAGTAGTTATTGTTGATTTTGTGAACTAAATTAGGAATGTCAAATTTGTAAGTAGATTTTTTCTAGAAATCTCCCTAACATATAAAAATTGTTAAGTGATACAGTAAACATAATTACTTCAATTATTAGTCTCTGTATTTAAACATGCAACATATATATTTAATTCTAAGTACCTGTTTTCTAGGAACTTCCAATTGTTTTTTGCTCAACGAATGCTGCATGATGATTCTCCAACAAAAAGAAAGGCAGCGTCTGCATTAGCTGAGACTAGAATGGCTCTGACATCTTTGAAGTCATTTAAGAGGCGTAATATCGCTAGTGTTCCTGTACAAAGAGTAGGGGAGAGCATCCGAAGTGTACAACCTGGAGTAGTGAGGCAGCAGCAACACATTAACAAAATGCCAAATTCTAATATTATGGTCAATGTTTTTGAGGTAAGAGAATTTGGTGTTGTTATGTACTAAAGTGGGTACTTTGTAAAAAAGAGTCAATAGATGTCATTCTGGCCAGTGTGATGTGTGCTTCAATAAAGTGATTATTGTTTAACTAATTACATAAATAACAATAATGGGCATAAAATTTAACGAGTTTGATATAGCACATGGGTGTTGGCAAAATTATATAGAAAGGTTATGTTTTTGCTTCCAAGCTAGTGAAATTGAAGAAGATACAAAGAAAAAAGCGAATTTATTGGTGGTCTGTGGCCCTGATTTTATGATTTAATAATTTCTTTGATATCTCCAAGTAAAATAAGTGATGTGACTTTCTCTTTTATTGTGGGCATTTTGAATAATCATTTCCATCCGAAACCTAATAAAATTGTAGAATCGTATAAATTTCACACAAGAAATCAAGAGGCAGGTGAAATGATAAAAAATTATATTGCTCAATTACGTAAATTAAGTTTAGGTTGTAATTTCACTGATTTAGATCGTACTCTGAGAGATAGATTGGTGTGTGGAATATTAGATAAAGATATTCGGAGGACACTGCTTCAACAAAGGCAATTAACATTTGAACAAGCTTGTGACATAGTATTATCACAGGAAACTGCAAATTTTGATGTAAATATTACACAAAACAGTACAAATACTCCAGTTCTTGATACAATAGTGCCAATGGATATTAACAAAGTACGGGTGAGTCAGAGAATGTCTTCTGAAAGCACAAATAAGAATAATGAGAATATGTCAACGTTGTGGGAAACCACATAGGGGTGAATGTAGGTTCCGCTGGACTAAATGCCATCATTGTGGGAAAATGGTCATATAGAGGCAGCCTGTTTATTGAAGTCCAGCCAAGGTAAGAAGTATAATTCAGAATGTAATGGGCTATATGAAGTGGGAATCAACAGCATTAGACAAGACAAAGTGGATCCTTTTGTGATTAGAGTATTTCTTAATAGAATGGGATTACTGATGGAAGTAGATTCAGGTTGCCCATATACAATTATAAATGAGATAACAGCCAAACAAATATGGAAGGGTAAATTACCTAAACTAGAATTAACACATATTGCATAAAATCTTACACAGAAGGTAAATTAGTATTATTAGGTCAGACGAAAGTCCATGTAAAATATAATCAAATAAGTAAAATTATGAATATATTAATTACAAAAGGTAGTGGTTCAAGCCTAATTGGCAGGAATTGGTTTGCACAATTGGGTATAAGTATAGAAGGATTAAATAATGTTAAATCAATGGATTTTAATAAGGGACAGACAACACAATTGTTATATAGATACAAACAGATTTTTGAGCCCGGTTTAGGCAAATACACTGGACCAATAGTGAATATTACACCAAAAGAGGGTTCTGTACCAAAGTTCCTTAAAAGTAGACCCATTCCATTTGAAATTAGGAAAGAGTATTTAAAGAAATAGACAGACTGGTTCAAGAGGAGGTACTAGAACCTACTACACATTCTGAATGGGCTACTCCGATAGTCCCAGTATTAAAAGCAAATGGTCAGGTACGTTTGTGTGGAGATTATCGGTCCACAGTGAATGCAGCTACTAATACGGATACATACCCTTTACCTACACTTAATGAAGCTTTTGTGCAGCTTCAGGGGGAGTAATATTCTCAAAAATTGATTTGGAGCAAGCATACACACAGGTGGCTGTCGATAATAACACAGCCAGCTTGCTTACAGTAAATACACCTAGAGGATTATACAAAGTAAAGCGGTTGGCCTTCGGTGTTAAAGCTTGTCCTGGTATTTTTCAAAGGCTGATGACTTCATTACTGGCAGGAATAACAGGAATAGCTGTTCTGTTAGACGATATCGTTATTTCTGGTAAGGATATCAACATACACAATGCAAGACTAGAGATGGTGTTACAGAGGTTACAAAAAGCTGGTCTAAGAGTGAATAAAGGAAAATGTTTGTTTGCAGTACCTAAGGTCAAGTTTTTAGGTTATTTAATAGATGAGTCAGGAATACATCCATCTAAAGAGAAAATTAATTGCACTGAGAAGACACCTGCACCAAAAAATATAAAGGAATTACAGGCATTTCTAGGACTTCTTAATTTTTATGATAGGTTTTTACCTCATAAGGCAACCATTGCTGAACCATTATATAGATTATTAGAGAAAGGCTCCAAATGGAAATGGAACAAAGAACAACACACTGCTTTTACAAAATTTAAAACAATGTTATCCAATGAAGATACACTGGTTCACTATGATGGCACCAAGAAATTGATTATGTCTTGTGATGCTTCTCAGTATGGACTTGGTGCTGTTCTAGAACAGGAAATGAACAATGGTATGGTGAAACCAGTTATGTTTGCATCACGTACTATGAATAGCCATGAGCGAAACTATGCTCAGATTGATAAAGAAGCAGCTGCTATTGTTTTTGGTTTGAAGAAATTCCATCAATACATAAGTGGACGGAAAGTGATAATTAAAACAGATCATAGACCACTGTTAGGCATTTTTGGACCAGGAAAACCAATTCCTACAATTATATCACCCAGAATGCTGAGGTGGGCACTTTTATTGAACTTATATGATTACGAGATTCAATATGTAGAAGGTAGGAAGTTAGGAAATGCTGATGCATTAAGTCGGTGGCCAGCAGAAGAATCAACTATAGAAAAGGAATATTCAGGAGTTTTATTAATTGAAGAGACACCAATGGAACTAGAATTTACAGCTAAAGATGTAGCAAAACTTACGAGAAAAGATAAAGTTTTAAGTAAAATATTATATTGGATAAGAAATGGATGGCCTTCTAAGGTACATACAGACTATAAAATGTTTATGAAAATTAGAGAGGAATTATCTGTACATAGTGACTGTATACTGTGGGGAAATAGAGTGGTGGTGCCAGAGAAAATGCGCTCTTATATATTGGAAGAATTACACCGGAACCATGATGGTATAGTTATTAGTAAAGCTTTAGCTAGAAGTTATTTTTGGTGGCCATGTATGGACAAACAAATTGAAGAGATGATGAAAAACTGTAATATTTGTTCAGAAAATAGGAACATGCCTGCTCCAGTTACTCATCAGTGGTTGAAACCAGATAAGGCCTGGTCAAGAGTACACGTTGCTTACGCTGGACCTTTTCAGGGTAAATCTTTTTTAATACTCATAGATGCATACTCTAAGTGACCAGAAGTTAAAATAGTAAATGATCTTAGCAGTGCTACATTGATTCGAGAATTTAGATATATTTTTGCTGAACAAGGTTTACCTGATTCTATTGTAAGTGACAATGGTCGAAGTTTCATTTCAGAAGAATTTCAGAAATATCTTAAGACCTGTGGAATTAGACAGATATTAGTACCTCCTTATCATCCATCATCGAATGGGCAAGCTGAACGTACAGTGCAAACAGTAAAAAATAAACTTAGGAAAAGAACATCAGAACCCTGGCATGTCCTGGCATTGCCGAACTTATTATATGGATTGCGAGCCACACCTAACAGTGTTAATGAAAAAACACCTGCGGAACTTCTGAACAACCGTCGGTTCAGAACACAGTTCGACTATTTAAATCCATTATCGTATAAAACAGAAAATTAAGTGCAAATGAAAACAATGAAAAACTTAAAGTACGGTCATTTGAAATTGGTGAGTCTGTGTATGTTCGCAATTATAGCAAAGGACCTCGATGGTTACGAGGAATGGTGGAGAAGAGAGTAGGGGTATGTAGATACTTGGTACGATGGAATGGAAGGTTGTTGTTGAGACACATTAACCAGATGCATAAAGGAGGGATAACAATTAATGGAGACAGTTTAAAAAATACTTCAAGGCCTGATGCAACCCAATATAATAGTGATGATGAAAGTCATGTGGTTATACCATCTCCAGAGAAATGGGCTGACATCATTGGAGTATCAGGGCCACAAGACATTGTAATGGACAGGAAGTTCAGGTGAAATATTAAGGACAAAGAGAGCTTTATCATTATCCCCACCTACACTATCTTCCAAGAGAGTAAGATCGCGGGTAGAGTGTAGCTTGGAGGACAAAGAGTCTGAGGTTGAAACAGACGAATCATTTGAAGTAGAATAACTCACCGACCATTCTAATAAAAAAAATCAATAGCCTAGTAATTAGTTATTTAAGTATTAACAGAATGTGCATGGACAATGAAATTTAAAAGTGAACGTAAATTGTGTTGTGTAAATGTTTACCAATCTCGGGGGAAAGATATGTTATGTACTAAAGTGGGTACTTTGTAAAAAAGAGTCAATAGATGTCATTCTGGCCAGTGTGATGTGTGCTTCGAAAAATACGTGTTTTAGTGAGTATATAATAGGTGTAAATATTTATGATAAATACTGTATGTATGTGGTCTCTATTTCTATCCCAGTTCAAGTGTGACCAAATATTTTTTTTGTTTGACATGATAACCATACAGACATTGTGGTAATTTACATAGTTTTATTAGAGGTTGATTAGTACTTTATCACAGTTAAAAAATATTCATAATATATAATGATGTGAAAATTCAAAGTTTATCTTCATCAAATTTATAGTTGCCATAATGTGATTGCGCAAATTATACTTTTTTGTAACATGGTTACCTAACAAGTATAGACAACTATAGGATAAATTTTGCTGAATACGAAACTAAAAAATGTACAGCAAAAAGCAAAAAGTAAATTTATACTTTTTAAGTTGGGACTAAATTATAATAATAGCCTTGGACACTTCACTTAGCACCATTTATTAACAAGTTAAGATGAACTTGTGTTATTTAAGTATTTCTATTAGTTGACTAGTCAACTGATATATACTTAAATGTTTTTTTTTAAAAGGAGAAGACAATATTGATAATACAGTAGAATTCCACTTATCCGGATCAAATAAAACCAGGGATACTCCGTACAATCGAAAATCATCCGTCATACTCTTGAACGGGTGCTGCTTGTAGGGACTGGTCTGCTCTAATGACTATGACTGATTTCCTCTTATTAATTGTTTAACCAGTTTGGTTGTATATTTAATATTTTTTCTATTTGAGTATTTAATTGAATTTGTGCTAATTGGTAGTTTGTATTCACACACTTAAACTTAAAGATGTAAAGTATGAATTAAATTATTTAAAAGAGCAACACACAGGTTTCTTGCTCGTTCTTCTTGTGATGAGCCAACTTTCCGAATGAGCGGTAGATTAAAAAAAAATGTGATGACTATTCAAAAGTGCTTTAGTGTAACTTTATTTGAATAAATGAAGTTCTATTCTATTCTATCCGAAAATCCGGATAACTGATTTTAAAGCAAATTTAACAATTTTTAATTTTAATAATCTTTCATTATGTAATGGGTTTTACTTAGGTAATACGATATATAAAAAACGAGCTATAACGATAGATAATGAATTACATAATACCTATGTAATTTAAGTTTGATTGGAAATAACTTGATATTGATCTTTGACGTAATGAATCACATCTATTCATTGCGGCCAAGTCACTGATGCGCTTCAGTTGTAACAACTGTATGGGTTCTGATTTATCCTATCTTTCAAACCACTTAAAAGCAACATATAGAGCATCAAAAGCTTCTGCGTGAGATGGTACTTGCCATAATGTATTGTGTTTTTACATTTTAATGTGTGTACAAATGAGTGTGTGAAATGCAAATTATTTGTTTTATTATTCGGAAATATAGTTAAAAAGAAAGTTAATTGTTATAATAGGATGCACCATCAACTTCACATGCATCACATGGCATTCACGTGGCTGAGGATCCTGGACCAGCTTCTTTAGTACAGGCTTGTAGTAATATAGAAAATGAGAAAGAAGTTGGTATGTGGACAAATCCTAAAACCAAAATGGTACATACAAATGTTGTGCCACACAAGCCTTTGCCCTTTACACGTATGTATGAACTTGATGGATTGTTAGTATTATATTAGTTTCGTTTTATAAATTTAATCGAGAAAGAATAATAAATTTTATAACATTTTACTTATCAGCATATGAAGATGAAGATGACGTATTAAGGCTGTCTGCAAACCATATGGCATATTGTGCAGATGATTTGTCGTTCACTGTGCCTCTCTGTGTACCTGACCCTCCAGATACTACGAAAATCCCGTGTTATAATAAATCACAGGTAAGAGAAGTACTGTAATAGCACAATATGAGATTGTTTACTTTAATGTTGATTAAGTTATACTTATGTAAATCATCAATTCTAGGTATATGTTAATGATCAAGAATATAGTTTAGAGGAAATCAGATCAAAAAAATATAATTTAATTAAAAATGTTAAGACTGAAATACCTGAAAATGTAGAAGTACAGCCAAATTATAGTAACATTAATGAAACTCTGGCTCAATGTAGTGCATTGGAAACATTAGCAAATTGTGCTCTAGACAGTGAGCAAGATCATTTAGGACAACTCATGCCATTAACTATGCCTACTCTACAAAATATAACAAAAGTAACAAATATGCATTCTCCGGGAGAGCCAAAAGTGTTGGTGAATTTAGATTCTAAAGAATTTAGTGAACTAAGCGCAAAAAAGAATGACGATAATCAAAAGTTATCTAATTATGTCTCTGACAAAGAAAATCAAATGGACAGACTTGCTACAAGCAACTATGGTGACGAAAATGGTCCACCTGAATATGGGAAGAATAATTTAATGGAAGAATTTAATAGAAGTTTGATGGGTAATCTTCTTGGAGATTCTGTCACAGTTAACACTAAAGAGGCGCGGTGGGAATTAAGGAACTTATTTAATGACAATGGTAAATATTTGTAACAAAATTGTAGTCAATTGTGTTTTTTGTGCAACAGTAGTCGTAAACAAACATAGGGCGTATCTGATAAAAGGCTATGTGTAAAATTTGTAATGATTCAATATCGATGGTATAAGTTTTAAGAAAATTTATATAATTTAAATCTATTCAGCCCTTATCAAATTAGCATAAAACCCTTTATCATCTCTAATTGACATACATATATTTCATTTAGTTAAAATGAGAAGAGTTTATAATTGTTTACATTTTCGTTTTTTCAATTTTACAGAAGCTTCTATGGTACAGCCAGTTGTGCAACAATTTGAAGTTCCAAATTTCGATATACATGAAGATAGATCTATGACCATTGCTATTAATACGAAAAAGAAACCAGACATTATGGAAATGAGATCATTACCAGAAGATAAAGAAAATGCAAACAAATATACAGTACCTGTAATTGCGTCACAAAATGTGTGTATATTTTTCTATTTTATATAATATGTTTAAATATTGTAATATTTTGAAATATTATGTACTGTCTTAAAGTTTTCTTGATAATAATTTATACAATAGGTGCAGTGAGCGTAATTAACTTTTAATTAAGAATAAACATATAAGCATGTATAGAGATAGTAAATTTTATGAGCCCAGTAGTTAAAAATAGATTTTATTAATCATTCAAATCAAATTTATATGACAGGTTAACAAAACTGCATTTTATGAAGAGCCATCATGCACTCAAGTCTTCAATTTTAACATCAAGGATGCCAGTACCCCAAACATGTCTCAATTTAAGAAGCCAACTAGTTGTATAGACCAATCTACCAAGTATCCCTCTGTACCAAAATTTAGTATTGATGAGAGTGTTATAGAACATGTTGATCAAGGCATAGGTAAAAGAGAAGAGAATTCTAGGCAACATGCAACAGACCAGCATGCTACTGTTGACAATCAAGGTACAGGACTTTCAGTTATAATGGAAGCTACACGAGAATATAACAGGTATGTACTTTAAAATATTTTTATACCAAAGACCAAGACATTTACAACTTTGGTAGTCTAACAAACCTCTATTAAAGATTATGTATGTATGTCTTGTTAAATTTCTATTTTTAAATTCTCTTTATGCAGGATATGCAATCCTGTTATTTCAGTGCTGTCTCTCACTCAATCGCTATATGTATCCAGGCTGCATGGATGAACTTTATATCAAGTCTCAGTTTTATAAAAGTTATGAATGTGCAATGGTTATCTTTTTAAATGATCTTATTTAATATGCATATTCTTGCCCGTGGTTTATTCATTGTGATGGTGATTTTTAATAAATACGGTCTTATATTTCAGTAAATCTGGTTCCAGCTCATCTGGGCAATCAACAAGGACTAATTTCACTGGTTACACCACAAATTTTGATTCAATGTACAATAATCCCAATGATCCATCACAGCAACCTACCTCATCCAAACGAAGTTCATTATCTACTCAACCAAGAATGCCCAATGGAACCTTTGCAAGGGTTTACCCCCAAAAACGAGAGCAGCCAGAAAACAAAATGGCTGCACCGTCCACATCAGTGCCTTACTTGTCTCATGATCACCAGTACCAGAAACCTATGCCCCAAAATTATAATGGATACTCACCTCAAAGGTCTATGCATCCACATTATCAACAGAGCTATAATAACTATCAGCAAGGCTATACTGGTAATCAGGTCATGAGCCAACAACAGCAGCAACAGGGTTACGCAAGTCCGAATGCTAATGCTTATCATAGCCCACAACATCCAGGCATGCAAAGTCCCCATGCTATGAATCAGGCTGTTCCTCCTGGATTTCAAAGCCCTACATATTCAAACCAAGTAGGATATCATAGTCCAGGACATGTCATGATGAGTCCTCCACCACAACAACAACAATTTAGTGGACGACAAGAATATTATACTAATCAAAATGATAGACAACATATCTACGTGAATCAGCAACAACAACAGAGTGCAGCTGTTTTTCAAAGCCCTCCACATCAAACACAATATCAAAATAATCAATACTATCAACGCAATAATTCAGTTCCGGCAGGTACAAGTCCAAGTTATAACCAACAAAACTACCATAATATGCACAATCAATACAATAACACAAATATCTATCCTAATGTCAATCCTCACCCTAACAATCAAAGTTTTAATGCAATGCAAAGTCCATACAGGCAGCCTCCTAAACCATCTGAGAGTACAAGTGGATATGGCCCTCAAAATAATCAGTCCTTTCAAATTTACCAAAGCCCACAATTATCACATAACAATTATCGTAATATTCCAACTCATGGAATGAATACTTCATTAGAGAATATGGATGTTCATATGAGACAAGAATCTCATATGAATGCGTCATTAAAACCGAATGAAATTGACACAAAGGAGCAAAGTATGACAAATAAATCAACACCTCAGCCAAAAATAGTGGCTCAACATAAAAGTCCAACCTCCGCTCTTAGAACAATTAGACATGATCAACCCAATGTGAAAATCGGTCAAAATTCACCTGATATTGGTTTTTCGAATCAATTTCTTAATTTTATCTCTAACAGAAATGAACCTAAGGATAATGCGAATACTCCTAAATTTACTAATAGCCCAAGTATTTCTCAGAAAATGCATAAAAATCTTTATGTATCAAGTCCAGAACAAGCTCAAATACCACCATCGTCAGGACTCTCAGACTCTGATAGCAAAGATGGAATGACTGCCCAAACTGTAACACCAATTCAATCTGCTAAAATATCACATAGTGCTGAAAAACAAAAAGATATATCCAAAAGACAGCTGGATTTCGAACAGCGCGTTGAATTCCAATCAGAGGATAGCAGGGATTCTGTCAGTAAAGAAAGTAGAATTTCGTCGGTACATTCGAGGCAATCTGATTTTCATTCTGATGGCTATGGTATGGATGTGGACAGTGAGAATTCCATGGAGTGTGGTGCTTTTAAATCAACTCACTCCATATCTTTAGTGGAAACAAGTGACATACCTAGACCAGCTGATATTGACTTCCCAAAAATAATTGATCCATTCAATAAAAAGATTTTGACCTCACTGTTAGAATATGTTAAATTTCCAAATAAAACTCATGCTGATGGGTATGTGGAGGTGCGGTCTGTTCCAAAATTACAGCCTACTATGACAATTAGCATTGGAAATAACAAATTTTCCATAGAAAAACAACTTGGTAAAGGGAATTATGGTGCGGTGTTTTTATGTCTTGATATCCACAGCAACAAGAGTGTAGCTGTTAAATATCAAAAACCCAGTAGGCCCTGGGAGTTTTATATTTGTCAAGAAATAAAAGCCAGAATAAAGGATCCATTTATGGTAAGTACTATCACTATTTTAATAAAAAATATAATAGATTCCATTGTTTGAATGTAAAATATGAGAAAAAGAAATGATTATGGAAAGCAATTAATACTAATAAGTAATAGGAATATATAAAATTATTGGTGCTGATAAAATATTTAAGAAAATAAAAAAAGTTGACATAAAGAGATACATTTTTCTGCAATGGCAACATATATACACTTGATACCTGCCCTAGCTTCACACAGGTGTATATCTTAATCTTAATAATATTATAAAAGCGAAAGTTTGTGAGTATGGATGGATGTTTTGGATGGATCTCTTTCATGCAAAAGCTACTGAATTTTAGTGTAATATAGCATGAAATAACATATATAAATTTCACGCGGGTGAAAACGCGGGCGCAGCTTGTATTAAATATACAAATCTTCCTCTTGAGCCACTATATCTATTGCTCCATTGCGTAGTTTAAAAGATAGAAGCGAATATACAGCGAAAGCGACTTAATTTTATAATAGGTAAATCCATATGTATTTTTTTATTTGTAGCTTCCAGGATATATGGATATTACTACAGCATTTCTAGGAGACAATGCCAGCTTATTTGTATCGGAATACTCCAAGTACGGATCTCTTTTAGATGTTGCAAATAAAGTACGAGTTGCTACTTCAAAATGTATCAATGAATTTATAGTTATTCTATTGACATCTGAAATGCTATCTATTGTTCATTACTTACACAAGGCACAAATCATTCATGCAGATATCAAACCAGACAACTTTTTGTTAATGAAGATGTGAGTATATTATATGTGTGATATGGATTTGTTTAAAATGACAATTACCATGCATATAGAGATTTAACCTAATCTATTTTTTTCAGCCCGGCACAAGAATGGCGAACACCATCTTTGCAGTTGATTGATTTGGGCTGTGCCATAGATATGTCTTTGTTCCCTGAAGGAACCACATTTAATGAAGTGAGTAGTATTTTTAAATGACATAACAATACTAATAATATAGTGGCATAGTTGCTATTCTTGTATTATATGGTGTTCAGTGCCCATTAAGTTGAAAATGTAACATTAATTTTCAACACAATAAAACCAAAAATAATACCTGTTATTGACCGTATTGATTAGATTCGTTGTTGTTGTGTGTCTATCTATTACCAACTTGTTCAGATATGTCATCTATCGGCAGTATAAACGTATTCGACGACCCCTATGGTCTAGCGGTTAAGAACATTGCTTTACTTCCGATAGTTGACGTTTTGATTCCTCGCACGGTACAAACATTTGTATTAATGAATATGATTGTATTGGTCTGGGTGCATTCTATGTATATATTTAAAAAAAAGCTCTGATTAGCTTGAGACTAGATGGCGCTGTGTGAATTGTCTACATATTTATTATTATTATAATAAAAAAGATCATTTGAATTAATTGGAATGAAAAAAAAACTGCTTTTATTGTGATTTTGAAATCGAGTCACCCTGCACTTTATAAGATGATTATTGTTATAAAAACATTATTTTACAGTTAATTGCAACTGAAGGATTCACGTGTACCGAGATGCGAGAAAGAAAGCCATGGACTTATCAAACAGATTTGTACTGCTTGGCTGGAACAATACATGTCATTCTGATGGGTAGCTACATGAAAGTAGCAAATCGCTTAGGTCAATGGAATATAGATAAGAAATTACCTAGGTAATTATTTTCTATATAATTATAAGCTGTTGCCATTTCCTCTAAGTGTCCTACAGAATTATATGTGTACTGGGCACGAAAAAACTGACTTTAATAGAATTATAAATGATAACTAAAAGTACCAGACAGATCTTGATAAAATCATCAGCTATTAAAAGAAAAAAAATCTATAATTGCCGATAAATTTCTGAACAAAAAAAAAATGGTTTGAATAGAGAATCTCCTCTTTTTAGTTTGTTTGAAAAAGAAAATGCTGGTAATATTAATATTTTCGGTAGTTATGTGTCAACTTATTCATACTTGTGGGAATACCTACTATATTCAAGAAAAGCTTGGGGTTTCGGTGTGGTATATGTATAATGCAAATTGTTACTAACATTTATTACCATTTTCAGGTACATGAAAGTTAGTCTATGGGATAAGATATTTACAACACTACTTAATGTTCCGGACTGTAACAATTTACCTGACTTATTAGATCTCAAAAATGAAGTAGACAGTGTCTTGAGTGAAATTGACAACCTTGGCTCTCAGCTCCGCAACTTCGCTAATGTGCTTAAATCTAGATAAATATCTCAATGGTTCTTATGTATTTATTGCATTTAGATTTTATGGCGACTGTAAAAACAAGTACCTAACATGTATTATTTAAAATATAAATACAAATTATGTCTAATATTGAAGAAATCTTGATCTATATCCAGGTTATTATTGCTCTTCTTATAAAAAGCAATAAATATAGGATGTCAGAATCTGCAATCTAGTTTACAATAATGCCTTGTTGTGTTTAGTTAAAAATGTGATATTGTGATTTTTAGTTCCGTTTTGTTAGTTTAGAATGAAAACTTGTCTTAGATATTAACTTGTTAGCTTATAAATGTTGAAATATTACTTAGGTTTCATTTATTTTTGTACAACCTAATAAAACATGCACATTTCCCATTTCTTGTTTGACCTGTAATTAAAATTAATAAATGATTACCGTTGACATCTATTTTCATTCCATATTACCTAGTAATAGTATATTCCTGTACATGCAAATAATTATAATATTGTTAGGTGTTAAGTAGTCTAACAAGAACTTTATAATTCTATTATTTGTAGCATTACATTATTTTTTATGTTTTATTATGAGAATCAGCATTGTTTACCACTGATGTGATGTTCAATATGTCCTCTTGTACTGATTATAACTGTTTGTAGTTCAGTCTACTATTCCTACCTATCCTACTTTTCTCTTTATGTCTTAAGACATACTGAGTTTGATAGAGACTGGTGGTATATTATAATAACAAAGCTTTGTACATATTGAATATTATTATTGTATATAGGTAGAACTAAAAAAAACTAATTTTTATATAAAAATATTTTATTATGAAGATTTTTCCAATCTTTGTCTTTTTCGTTCCTGATATTCCTGTACATTATCGAACTTTCTTTTGTATAATACTTTGATGAAATCAAAGTTTTCCTTGCCTTCAGTTGCAATGTTATTATTTTCATATACATTAACAGTTTTACTAAATTCTAATGTTGCTTTAGCATCACTGTATGTAACATTATATATGGCAATATTAGATGAATTGTCATAATACACAATCAAACCTGAATTGTCAAATTTGATAGCACTAGGGAAACATTCTAGTTTTAGCTTCTGTTGTAGATTATGACTAAACTTTCCATCTACAGAGTGTAAACTATACATGAGTAGAGCATTGTAAGTATACACAGCAATTGCCAGCAAACTGCTAGAGTCAGTGAGTTTACAGAGTGTGTAGTGAACTATTGGTAATGCATTTACTTCTATGCCCTCATCATCCATTAATTTACAGAACTGTTCCTTAAGTTGTAATTCATTAATATCAAGATAAGAGTCAATACTATAACAGAGTCTACCATTTATATAGTCCCAACATTTAATAGTTCCATCTCCCGATGTACTAGTTAAGTAGCGATCATCATGTGGTAAAAGTTCAATGTGATTGACAAATTCGTTATGTCCTAAGCAGAATGTTTGAATGTTATAAGTATTAGGATAGTTTGATACCCTTATTTTTTCATCTCTGTCACATGTTATGATGTATCTACCATCCTGGGTTTGTAAAACATCCAATAATAAACTCAGATGACCTAAAAGCTTGGTACCATTATCCTCATTAGTTGTATTATATATTAATACATCGCCACTTTTATCTGCTACCAAAATTTGCTGATTTCCAACTGTGAACCTTATCTTGCTTGAGCTTCTTGGTAGTACTATTTTTTTTAATATTTCCAATTGTGGTAAAGAGTACATTACTAACTGTTTAGATGCCGAAGTTGTTATAGCTAAATACTTTAAATCTGCAGAAATTGCTATATCAGAAATATAATCAGTTTCCATTGATTTAATCTGACTCGTTACTTCCAAACGTTTGTTGACTGAAAAGTCATAGTAACTTAAACACATGTCTCTTGTTACAGCAATAAAATTGTTACCTGTTGCCATACAAGCCATTTCTTATTACAAGTTTAATTTATTACAAGCAGATAGTATCACATAAACATTAAAAATTAATTATTTCTGCAAGGATATGATATTTAATTTATATTACTGGGAAATTCTGATTTCTACAATTTTGAATTGGCTAATTTTTTTTTTTTTAATAATGCTTTATTCATGACCATGTTGAATTGGCTAATGTAAACCAGTGTTGCCATATAAGAGTATAGCTTTTAACAGTTTTAACCCAATTATTGCTAAATTTTCCCCTACAACTCCGGTTCTGTAAAAAAATCCCCCAATAACAAGTTTTTACTTGTAGAATATACTATTCAATTATTATACTTCGAGCAATCTGAGAAGCTGAAGAAATTCCTCCAAAGTTCGCCCAATCTTGCATTGCTGAAATTGACTGACATAACTGATTACTACTACATCTACACCTCCCTAGAAATTTTTCTTATGGATGATAATGGAATGGTGCACTCGCCTGCGCTAATGATTTACGCTGGCGGGGCAACAGTTGAGGATGATATGATGAGCATGAGGTCAAGCCAATTAGCTCATCGTAACAAATTCACAAAGAATTTATCATGATGGTTTCCAGGAGAAACCGTGTGGATGTCAACTTGATATGGAACATTGCTAGCAATAAGAGTATCAGTCCACATTACTAACAATTCCCTTTCCCCCGTTCCTAAGAGATTGCAGGTTACGGCCTTGGGGCGGGCCCTTTTGCCCTGGTATGAATGAAATATTGCCCGAGGACAACGAACCCCGTGGGACTGGATTAGCAGGCTCCGGGATTGATGACGGATTAACGAGAGTGACCGCTCGCCCCGAGGCTCTAACCTGCAGTTCCATAAGGCGGGCGGTTGATATGAAAAATAATCTACTGAGTCAAAATCAAAATCAAATGAAGTACGTGAATTGTCGGACGTACCGTATAACGTTTGTACAGTTCATCAGTATGACTGACATATTATTGCCACAAGTTAATTGACAAAACTGACGTTTCATAAATTTCAATCAATATTATACACGTTCGTCTGGTTTATTAATTCTTGAATCTTTATTGCCATACGTAGTGTTGTATGGCTAATTTAGTTTTTTCTTTTTTTATTTATTGTTTTTGCTTTATTGCATTACTTGCTTCCATTTATTTATGTCTAGAATCTATAATAACTTCACTATTACTGACATTTCAGTACGATTACGATACTGCTACATATTACAATTAGATTATTCTTTTGCCAAAGTTAGGTGTAGGTGAGCAAAAAAGTGTCTTTAAAACCAACAATATGTTGTCTTCCTGGAATTCAGATAAAAAACATAGTGAAATAGAAAGGTAAGAAGTCAACATTCAGTTATTAAATGAATCGAGAATTTCAGATTCTTATGTATTTGTTTGTATATTGAGTCATAAATTTACTATTTTATTATAACACATATATATATAAAATATGACGTCTGTTTTAGGTGGATTTGCATTTACCCTGCTTATATGAATAGTAAAAAAACACTTGCAGAGGGCCGTAAATTGCCAAGAGCTTATTGTGTGGAAAATCCTACCCATCAAGAGATTAGAGATGTTCTTTTAGCCACAGGTCTACATGTAGCTGTTGAAAACAAGCTATATCCGCGAGAAAGAAGTAAGGTAAATATAACAAGTAATCTTACAAGGAGTATGTAGATCAGATTTAGTTAAAATTTTTCCTACTATTTGTTCCATCGTGATATATTAGAAAACATATATATGTTCTACTTAACCAGGATCAGCATTGCAATCATTAATAATAATTGTGGGCAAGTTATATATATGTAAAGGGAAAAGTAGTAAGTTACCAAATAATAATTAAACAATCATGAAATTATTTCGGATTCTCTTATTGGGCTGTGAGAGCTGTGGTATTGTTATAGTAGGAATAAAGAATTAGAAGAACACAAGATTTGCTAAAGAAATTGGAATGGATTGTTGAGTAATTGAATTAGATGAGTGATTTAAGTAATATATATGGATTAAATATGAGCTAAATATATTTAATTGATAATTTTGAGGAATTCTTTTATTTTGTGTTTGTTGTTATAGGAAATGCTGTATAGAGGTAGAATTCGAGTGCAATTAAAAAATGATGATGGTTCACCTATTAAATCCGAGTTCTCTACAAGAGAATCTGTTATGAAATTCATTGGTGAATCAATTCCTAAGCTGAAAACTCGTCAGAATAGGTATGTATTTTTTTAATTAAATTTATATGTTGAAGAAAGCCACTTGTATATTAATTTTGGTAAAAATGCTTTTTTTCGGTAAAAAATATTGTTAGCAATAAGAGCTCTGTCATACAAACAGATCTAATGAATGTTTGATCATAATATAAATATTATGATGATATATATTTTAGATATATAATATTAGTTGATAATAATAATTTTAAGGGGGTCTTCCTATGTGATGGGTTGCGATTTTTTTTTTTTTCATAAATTGCTCCCTTAACATATCTAGAATACGGTAGTAAAGCGATTTTAGAAAATTCGAAGTCGTTTTAAAGATACAGCAGGTAAAAGAAAGAGCGGTTCGGAGCGGTGAGTTGGCAGTTAGAGACCGGTGGGCTAATTATGTAACTTCGTTCGCAACGATTTTCGTATGTAACGTAGTGAAAATGACGTCATCTGTCAATAATGCGATCATATAGACGCCATTTGACGCTGTCAACTAGCATTGCAACGTAAACGCAACTTTACATATCGATAAAAAATATTTCTATCGAATGTCGATTTAGTAACCTCGTTGCAACGTCACGTAATCGCTATTTTGCCGAAATGACAGCGTGGAATTGAAACGGTTTTTACATTATGAGAAACAATTTAGAAGGTGTTTCTTTTGGTTACAATCTTTAAAATATCAGCATTAGCAGCATTATTTATCTTGTTTTGGTAATTTTCAGTATTACATATATTTTTATTATATTAAATATTACGTAGAAAGTCGTGAATAGGTTTTAAATTTATTAAAATGGGAAAATTGTCACGACTCACAACACGACATCAGTGTTGCCAATTCGATATTTTATTTTCGTCCCAAATCACATAGAATGTTGTATTAACTAGAGTAAATGTTTAATATAAAATTAGGGTTGATTATGATATTAATATAATTAAAAAACTATTTCAATGAATACGGTGCTCTGTGAACGGAATACAACGTTTATGATGCTCTGTGATTTGTTTAAAGTAAATAAATTTATTTGTTTAAAGTTTTTACAATTATGTACAAATTTAAAAAGATGTGCCCATATCATTTTAAATTTATATGGATACCTACGTACTTACCTAGGTATCTATAGCAGAAGAGAAAATTTAATTTGTAGGTTAGATTAATATTATTAATGATTATAAATAGTTTGTATAAAATATGCTTTTATATTCAAAATTATTAACCTTATTTTTTCATTAGAATAGAATAGACTTTCTTTATTTTATTTTATTAAATGTCTATTAATAAAATTAAAATAAAAGAACAAGTGAACGCTGCAGTATATTTTGTAATTTTTGAACGCAATAAAAATTGTTTCAAATCAACCAACTAGTGTAACAACCCAATAAATTAAAATGTATCCCTCTAAAGGTATAAGCTATCTAATGTACTGACTTTTTAAATTGGTCGGATTAACAATATTCCGCTGCAACTTCATAGTAGTGTTTTATCGATAGAAATGATTTATGTTGCGGTCATTCGACCTTACTTGATCGCATTTTTTAAATTGAAATGATTTCATATTGCATCACAACTTCAACAGAAACAATTTCATATCGTGTTACATAATTAGCCCACGGGCCTATTGTGTACCGTCGGCTTTATACCTGGCCTCCCTTTTATTATTATATTTGTTTATACAAGTTTAGACACGTTTCTACAGACTTAAACAGAAATTTCTATTGTTATAATATTTTACCGAAGTTATTTTAGTCTATCCAAGAAAGTTATCCAAGAAATTACAAAATTCTACGGATTAGCAATTCGACGCCATCCAGATTCGCTTGAAGATATGAGAAAGGAAGTTTGGGCAACGTACTATCACAAATGTTCTTCTGATGAAAACCCTCAGCATCAATTTTGTCCAGAAGGCGAAGACAGTTGGTGTAAATGGCGTAAGGCTGAAGCTAATAATGAACTGGACCAATTTCATCACGATAAACCACCTCTAATTCCGCAAGTCCAAGAAGCTATCAAACCGGTTTTCGAAGATTTATCGAAAGACGAATTATTAATTCGTTGTTTAGGAGCAGAGACACAAAACAATAACGAATCTTTGAATTCTTTGATTTGGACTTTCGCTCCTAAACATCTTCATTCTGGTCCCAAAGTTGTTGAAATTGCTAGCTACTTAGCAGTTATTATCTTTAATGAAGGTTTTCAAGGTATTTTAAAAGTTATGTCGATTATGGGATGCCCTGTTGGTCGTGAAGCCCAAGCGTATGTTGAGAAACGGGATGAAAAGCGAATCTTACGCTCTGAGCGGCGCGTAAGTGATGTCGTTAAACAAGCCAGGATTGACTCAAGAGCTGAACAATCTGCTTTAAAAGAGTTTCACGAGGAAGAGGAAGGAATACTCTATGGACCAGGCATCGCCGATTGAGAGTAAGTTGATATTTTAATAGTTTTTAACGGACTTGAAACTTTAAACGCGTTTTTCTCAAAACTGTGTTTTTCAAACTTTCCTCCATTGTATCTCAGAAACGGCTGGACCGAATTACTTGAAATTTACAGGGCACACTCAATATATGTAAACGCATGGAATGAACTATTATCAATCGAAAATTTTCAAAACTTCGATTTTTTTATAGCAAAAAACAAAAAAAAAAAAGCCTAATTTGCAACTTTTATTTCAAATGTCTATCAAAAATCCAATTTTTTTTATATTCATTTGATTATAGGTCATTCCGTGCTTTTAAGCCTACAAATTAAAACGCCGTTTTTTTTTTTTTTTTTTTTCAATAAGCCGATCAGCCGGAATCGTGGAGGAAGTGGGAGCTCTTTTTTTCGAGGCGGGGGTGTTCAGAGCGCTGTAACTCTAGTTTGACTGAATATTTTTAGCTGAAATTTTATATTTATACTGTCCAAATATGTGTTAATAAATGATAAAAAACTTGAAGCTCTAAATATTTACTGGTCGTAGAAAAAAAATCCTAAAATATCCCTAAAAAACAGGCCGTCACATAGGAAGACCCCCTTAAGTTTCAAAGTAAACTAGTTCTAACGAGTCAACTTAATATGCATTTTATTAATGCATTTTATATATATAAGAATGATAGTGTAATGTAGCATGACTCTTGTTATGTGCTTACCATTTCTTATAATGACATGAAATGTAATCTAATTATGTAACTAGTTCCATAATATTTTAGTATGAGATTATGAGTGTTTATTAATTTAAATCTTTGATAATGATCTTATATATATTATTATTTCAGGCCTGCTGATCAACAACCTCAAACAACAAGCCAATCTAGTAGTAAGAGTAAGGGCAAGAAAGGACGTCGATAATTTTTTTATATATGATAAACTTATTATTTAATAAAAAATCTTGTAATGAGTATATAAATCCATGAATTGCTTTTATTTAACATTTGACAAAATGGTCTTATTAATACCTAACTATGTACAGAAATGTCCTTTACTATGTAAATATTTCTTATATTATTATATATCATGAATGTATATGTATAGACTGTTCTAATAATCTGTTTTGGCCATTTATATCTCTTGCAACACTGTATCCATCAAAAATAGTAACTACAGGTAATTTACCTTGAGGCGCGCTTTGTAGAGCCAAGGTTAAATTTGACAAATCTTTTATTGATATTACTGTTTCATGTTCTGTATAAGCTTCTTCAACATCTGTGGTAGCTGTGCCATTTCCGTTAGGGACTCGTTTATAACTGGTGTGATTGTGTGTGACATGGTACTTGCTTTTTTCATAACTTTTTTCGGACTGTAAGGACTCTGTGTTATTGCTGATAAAAATTTTGGAGTGAAATCCTCGTAGTCCTCTATCATGTTCTGATATAGAGTTTGAGCTTTCTGTTTCGTTTCCCCTAATTTCGTGTTTATCATATTTTTTATATTTATCGGCTGTGAAGAGTTCATTGGTGTTTTCATCTTTTTCAAACTTCTCATCTGTTTCTGTTCTATTGTTCCCTGTATTTCTGGCATCATTTCCGTTTCTTCTTCGGAGTTCATGGCCACTTGCATAGTTTCGTGTAATACAATTGGAATTTTCTTCATGACTCTTTGTATAGGATTCATTTTCTCGGACTCTGGTATTACATTTACTATTTCCATTATTCCGGGGGATATTTCTCGCAGTGCTTCTGTGAAATGTGGAGCGGCTTCTTTTACTGTGTCCATTATTGTCTCGCCAACCGCTAGAGGTATCTCTTGAAGGTAGTAAGGATATGTTCTTATTCTGTCGGATAATGCCGAAGTCACCCATGGAAGTATTAGGGGCTGTCTTGGCGGTAGTCTTGGTAATTTTCTTGATCGTAGTGGCAATAGCTTGGGAAGTAACAGTTGTCGTTTCTTTCGATAGAGGCTCTTCTTCGAAATGGGATGCAAGTCCGCATGTGCATACCATTCTGCGTCTGTCGTTGGTAAATGATTTGTGTGACTGAATTCTTTCAGCAATTTCAGTGGTGTCGCTTGTATTTGATTTAATGAGAGTATCGAATAACATACCGAGATTTCTAAGTAGAGGAATATATTTTTGATTAGTTTCGTCATTTTCATGGATGTTTCGATCGATTGCTTGATCTTTACGTTTGTTGCGTAGTTTAGTTTTCAACTTTTTTGGTCTTAACGGGCTTCTGATTTGAAATTTTTTCTTGTTTTTGAAAGGATATATGTTTAGAATTCCAGGGATCTCGTTAACTGTGAAACAAAAAAAACATTTATATATATAGGTCCTTCAATTCTATCGACATAATTTGTGGCCTGTGCGGGTCATTACTTGCGATAATTCATTTTATTTTGTATCACATAGAATTTAATGGAAACATTATTTGTAGTTATTTAGAAATGATATTTATGTACCAAGCAACAGCAATATATTGCAAGCCCTGTGCAATGTGTTAGATATGTAGGTATATATACAGAATAATGTTGATTGATTTTTTTTTATTTTATCTTATTAACTGTAAGTCTAAATGGCTATTTCGGGGAGGAGTGGAGATTGTTTGAAATGGGAACTAGTACATGTCCATTTCTAGTAATGTACCATCTCAGGTCTACCTTCACGCGGTCTCCCTTGGAAATTATCTGGGTTAATTCTTCACGATGGACTAACTAACCTGAATATATGCTCGTACTATTATCCTCTTAAAAATTACCCATTGGTATAAATATTTTTTTCATATTTGGAAATTAAAAATGAATACTTAAAAAATTTTCATTTTTTTTTATTAAAGTCAGAAATTAATTACCTAGTTAAGGAAATTTTAACAATAGAAGAGGAATTTTTCTTATTTATAAATAATTCGTTATCTATAATGTATATTGCAACTAAATAAGATGAGAGAAACTTTCTAAATAGTTTTTATGGGAGGCGCGACCCGCTAGAATGCAATATATAAAAAGTTTGAAATATTACCTTTTCCTTTAAGTTTAGATTTTAACCAAGAAGTTGGAGCATTTACTTTATGTAAAGAGAAATCCTTAGCTTTATTTCCTGAAATAAAAAAATATATTTTTAAAATATCCCCAGTCGGTTGATAATTATAATTGATACCTACTGGGATTTATGTAGCTGGGTGCATAATAATTTGAAATATAAAAGTCCCTTTCCCGAATACAGTGTTTCGTTTAGTCTTTTATAAGGGAACCAAGTGGAAGACTATCTGCTACTCTTTCCCCCTATTGCTTTTTTATAGTTGACAATGAAATAGAGCACCCGCCTACGTTAACTTTATACGCTGCCGGGACACCAGTGAAGGTAAGCACGAATTAACCACATTACTGGCAAAGAGGCCACAACTCCTTATTGCTGACCATTTCCTCCTCCCACTATTTGATTTATTAGTACCTATCTACCTCCAGACTTCAAACCACACTACTACAATAAACCTTAAACTTCCTAATATTTATAAATTAGTAACATAGGGCAGTATAAAAAATCTCTTTGGCCTGACGTGAATGAATATAGTGCCTGTGAAAAAATATAAAGAAAAGGTAATGAAGGTTATAAACTTTAGTTTTAGTTACTTTTAAGATTAAATCGAAACTGTCCTTGAAACAACGTTCGTAAATATTTCTTAATTACATACCGATTTATTACTATTATTCAATAGATGTTCCTATAGATGTTCGACGACGGAATTGTGCGAAGATACTAACCGGTATGTGTCGATTCGGCTATTCCACTTAGTGACTTATTTTTTTTCAATTCTTGGTCAATTAAATCGTTTAATGACACTGGTTTTGCAATCAAATCTGAAATAAATCGACGTAAAAACGGGTAGTAAATGTATAAATTTTGAATATTCATATTATGATACCTCACTCAGGTAGTAGGCCTACTTTTAAAATGCACTCGTCGGCAATGCAAAGCACGTAAAAAGTATTTATACTTATAGGTATTTTTCAAATTACTACTACACAGTTGTAGGTACGTTCAGTGTTATGCAGGTATAATTTTTGCTTTGAAATTCTATAACATCACAAAAATATTCATTATAGAAATTACTCAAAAATAAAGAGATAAAAGAGATTTTAATAATATGTAGGTACCTACTATATTTACAGTATCTATCACATATGTGTACTTATACAAAGACTTAAAATTAAACACAAAAACAGTAGTTCTAAATATAATATCCGTATTTACTTCTAATATGGATTAGTACTTACAAGGAATTAAGATGGCAGAATTAATGAATACGTAGTATTGCCATATAGGGATTTTCATCTTCTTTCATTTTTGCCTCTTCAAACGTTGTCACTCAGACTGTTAATTATGCAAATCGTGACGCCCGTGTTAATTTGTATTTATAACCTTCGTAGTTGCTGAGGCAGCAGGATTGGTAGCACGTTTCCATGACATAACACGAATACCTATAATTAATATTTCTTTTATATTTTTTGTCGTATCGTTTTATAATACATTTGTAAGCATTTTATTTATACATGCAAAGAACATCACGTTATTAACTTTTTCATTACTAATCCTAAGTTCGATTTCATAATTTTAAAACTATTTTAGTTATACTAGAGAAAGCTTTGAATAGTGATTTATATTATAAAAGGTCTGTTGAAGTAAATAAATGTCATGTTGGGATATTTGAATTCGAGTCAATCAATACTTATTTGAGGTAGACTTTGTAGAAAATTCGCAGCCTTCCTAATACGCACTGCCAAAGAGTGGAACACACTTCCAGCTTTTGTGTTCCTGGAGAAATACAACCCCGGATTCTTTAAGTCTATGGTGAATAGATATCTTCTGGGTAAGCGCGCTACATCCTAGGTCTTGCCATCATTTACCATCAGATGAGGTAAGACCAAGCGCAATCCCATTATTAATTAAAAAAAATCGTCTGTAACATGTACCTACTCGTATGTCAAAGTTAAGTTAGATAAGACACTGACTACGTACACATAACATCTTAACCCTCCGGAAAGGGGGAAGACTGTTGAAGTAATTAGAAATAAGTAAATTAGATACTAACTACGAGTACCTGATAAATCGATAACCAGAAAATAAATGTAGGTATTATATACCTAACTTATATGACCTGTAGGTAATGTCACTCTATCGTAGATTTACCTATATAATTATATTGTATGATTCGTTACACAAGAATATACAAGAATAATGTAAACCCAATACGAACATAAAGATATGATCAACGGAATTGACGCTAAAATCTGTTGTACCGGTACGGTAGGTACGCCACGCCACAATAATATAATTCTGGGTTAATGCTACGCTAGACAGTAATTAAAATATAGTATATGGAATGAATCGGGAATGTAGGATAATTGTAGCTATGTTTCTCTAGATTTTAGTGACATAATAGACAATAGATTTATTTATTATTTTGTATCGGTTTTGGCTGTTTCTTGGTAGGTACTTAATGTAGGTAGGTACATGTCCACAAATTCTGTTTGTATTTCCTTCTTACCGCAGTATTATCTACAAGCTAGAACATGCCTCTGTATGTACAAGGTGCCGTGTTGAATTTTCTAAATACGACTATATCTTATTAATGTCTTACTCCTTCACGCAAAAACTACAGAAGAGATTTTCATGAAACTTTACAGTAACGTAGCTTGTGCATCAGAATAAGACAGGCTATAGTTTTTATTGATATTTATAGATACATTGAAATTTAACGAGGGTGAAACCGCGGACAGGGCTAGTATTAAAATAATAATTAATCTTACTACTTATATAACTTATAAAACGTAATTAATTGTCTTTGTCTTCTGATGACTATTTGTTTCCAAAACAACAAAAAGGATACGGTACCTGAGGATAAGAGGATTGATTTTTGTGTAGTAAACCTGCGTTCGACTTACATTTCCTTTTTATTTTCAGTACCTATTACATGTACCTATAATATTTTATGTCTGAATATGGTACGAAATTGTCTATAATATATATAAGTACTAGCTACATATAAAACTTCCTCTTGAATCACTCTATCTATTAAAAAACCGCATCATAATCCGTTGCGTAGTCTAAAAGATATACATATAGTAGCATACATATGGACTGACAAACAGCAACAGCGACTTTGTTTTATATGTACTTTGTAATAATGATAGGATGTATTAAATACTACAATAGTATTATATGTATATATATATTCAGAATGGTGTAGTATTGAAGTTCGTCCGATACGATTTCGTATCGCAAGTATGTTACGATTCAACAATTGTGCGCTTGCAGTAAATGTACACTTGTCTGGCTCAACGATCAATCTTATTATCGGAAACATAAACATTGTATTCTTTGAGTCATAAATATTACACACGTACTTATTCTTTTCATGTGGAATTTCATTGTCGAGACACGTTCATGGTATACTTTTGCATGTTAGTATGAAAATGGGTTTTATTAAAATTTATGTAAGTGCATTTTAACAGGGTTAGTGATGATGAATACAGGAAGATGTCGATGAAAAAACCTAATAATATAATAGATAATAGATAGATAATACTTCTAAATATGAACATAATATGATGAACAGATATACACAGACGCACCATAAGGGCTTTGTCCACACATATTAAAGATCATATATCACTATAGTGAAATAGTAAAATACGTGTTAATTCCCATACAATTATAATGTAGGTATATAAATAAGTAAGTATGTACCTATGTTTGTAATTTGGTTAAATTGTAAATGAATATGTAATATATATTTCCAATAATTGTTTAATCAATATTGAAATATTAAAAAAAATCTTTACATTACTTTTACATAAGATGTCCCTACAACGCTAAATTATACTATTTATATCCTCTGTGTCGCTTTTTATCTTCATTTCTGTTAATATTACTGAATATAAATCCACATGTCTGTAATCCGTAATATGTTTAATATGTAATTACAATATTAATAGGACGGGCTTGATATTAACTTCGTTCATGATACAAAGTAAATAACATTAGGGTACAGAGGCACAGGTTACATTTGGTGCGGGCAATAAATTATCACATAAAATTGCAGATAATAGTACTTTTATATCAAATGTTTCGATAAATAATAAAATAAGAGCAGTAAAACAAAGGAGTTGCTACAGGGCTGGGGCATCGTTAAAATATTACGATCGTCCAATATCGGAGGATGAAATCTTTAATCGCAGAGAAGCGAGTTTTACGTGGAAGTAAAATGGGCTCTGTGGGCCCGAACAAATAGTGAGATAAGCCAGACGATTGATGGAAAACAAAATCATATGCCGTAAAACCAATTGAGCGTGCATGGGAAATGACCCTATGAATTGATGCTTCAGGAATGCTACTCTATTTACTAGGAGAGGGGACCATATTTTAAAGTGATTATATTCTTCAAAAGAAGATATATCTCTATATAAACATTGTGCATATTATAATATAAATCTTATAAAATATCTATAAACATGAAGATTATATATTTTTGATATTCATCTACAGAATATAGACGAATAAAATTGAAACATACATGTTATTTATTGACATTATGTCAATGATGTTCAGTACTTTTTAATAAAGTAATAAAGGGTTTATCGTTAATAAGTAGACACTGATTAATAGGTATTTATTGTAAATCTGTAAGATCAAGCTTACCACAGACTGACACACAATATCATCTAAAATGATATACCTACAATATATTTAGGCACTACTAACAATATTACGCTGCTGTTCTACGTATTATTCCGGAAACTGCATTCGACAAAGTGAATAATAAGATCTAAACCATGCTCGTTGAATTTATGAATCATTGAATAGAATTCCTATTGAAAGTTTAATATTTTCAGATTACTACTTTCGCGCCTTGTTTCGGTTAGGTCAGCGTTTTATTTTCCGGTTGATAAAGTACCCGTTTTATTTGTACGCAAATCCGGAGGTCGGCCGCGGACCGAATGCTAGTGCTCGGTTGGTTCCCCAATTTACGAGCGGCCATAGTCAGGAGTTAGTATCGCTGTCGTCACGCCTCGTATACCGTCGATTTATATTTTCACCGATATACCACTGCTAGTCCAAATTTATCGATAAAAGTAGAATAACTTGAATCGCCACTGTTTTTACAATCCACGTTCAGTTGCATAGATACTTGGTAGTTATATTTATCATGACAGTGATAACAAACAAAGGAAATAAAACTCGAATCATAAATCTCCTACAACAGAAATTATTTATTTCATATGAATTCTACTGACATTCTATAGGTCATTTAAAAAGACATTGTGACTAATAAGTAGCAAAAAATCTTTAAATTGCTTAAATATACCTCGGCAAAATTGCTTAAATATAAATATATTTCGGCAATTTAAAAATTTTTTGCTACTTATTAATCACAATGTCTGTTTAAATGACCTTGCTATATGGAAGTGGTAACGCTTTGCGTCACATGGTACAATAATGATAGTGCTATTGTATGTGTATATACCTAATTCCATTGTGAAGTTATCTAGGAATATGTTTCATTTTAGGAAACATTTATTAATTACATTTCACACGTACTTATATACGTCGCGCATAACAACTCAGAGTCGTGTTTCCATGTTGCGCTGAGTTATTTTGTTTCTATGTTGTTGGAATGTCCCTACAAAATTGTACAAAGGGAAGCGAAATGCTATTTGAGCGAAGTATATCGAGTGCAATGTATCTAAACAGGCCGAAACGCCTCCCAGTGAGTCTTACTACTGAGGCGATAAACGGATTTGGGAGGGACGGTATTATTCCCCTGTAATAGAGTGATACTTCTTTAGGACCATTCGGGAAACTGATGACACTATTTGGTTTTGCCATAAAAAGTTATGATATTATATTTGCGGTATCAAAATATTACGAACGCATAATGCCCCAGTGGCCTCATGGCAATTTGTTTTTTTCCATATAGCAAAACAAGTCAAGAATACTAAAATAAAATATAATACATTAATTGGTTTCCATCTTGATCCGCTCATAATATATTGTCAAAGCATAACAGAGATTTAATATATATATTTATTATAAATTTATTTTTATACAAAATTAGTATTAAGCTAAATTCCAAGCACTGCACTCTTTATGTGTAGTCGTTCGACTTCAATATTCAATTCATCACTATTATATATACTACACTTCTTTGTATAAAGTTAATTATATTTACGAGGGAAAAATAATTAAGGAAAGATTGTTAGTAATGGAAACTAGTGACTCCATAGCTAGAAATATCATATCATGTTGACCTCCACGCGGTCCCATCTGGAAATCATCATGGTT